CAGAAAGAGTCACCTTACCCAAAAACTGCTTATGTCCTTCTACGTCTGCTCCTAAGAGGGCATATTAACATACTGTGAGTGTGTGTGTGTGTGTGTGTGTGTGTGAGTGTGTGTGTGTGTCTGTCTACTCTGACAGCTTCAGTTGCAAAGACGAAAGGGTTTAAGCAGATCATCAGACGCCCTCCTTAGGAGATCGTTACAGTTCCCATTACCTCAAAAAAACCAACAGGATCATCATAAAAGATGAATCCCAACAGTGGACATTTTCTGTTTGAGCGTAGGCTAGCAGATGATCCAGGACATAAAAACAATAAACACATTTTTTAAGAGAATCAATCTGGCAATCAATGCTCATAGAATATAAAAGTAAAATATCTTGTATATTGTTGTAGATTATTTAAGTCTTTTTTTTCTTTGATGTCTGAATTAAGATAACATACAATTTCCCTGTACAGGTGAAATGACAATAAAATATTTTTTATGTGACCCTAATACTTTCTGGAGGGCCCTTGTAGGTTTTAAACGCACGAAAAACATTACGAGTATATTCAGAGAAATACGCAAACAGATATAAGTCCAGCGGACGTTACCAAGGACATCATTCTCCTCTACGGTTGCCATGGTGAATCCTAGAATCGACACTCCATTGATGACGACTTTTTAATAGTCGTCGCGCACGCGCTCGGCTCGAACCCAGTTGTTTAAACCAATTCCATGTTATTTTTCCTCCCCGTCTCTCTGACTCTCTCCAGGAATAAAACCACAACAATGACTGCAACAGGCCTGAAACGTTCAGGTCCAGCCCAACATGAGCAGAAATACAGGCGTTTCACCAAAACCTGAGCTAATAAAATGAGCATTTCAACACCACTTTACTTTTCCTGACGCTGGCACGTCTGCGCAGACTTGGCAGCCACTCAGGGTTGCATTGACTTGTTGGTGGTAATGACAGCGTGTCTTGTCTGACATCTGAGACAGCTAAAGGAAACGTCTTAAACAAGTGCTAGCTGATATTATCAGGTCTAAATGATTGTGAGGTGAAGAAAAGCTCAAAGACAGCGTTGCTCATATCGGCCAGCTACCACTGCTGCTGCTGCTCCACTAGCTTGTTAGCTTAGTATAGCGCTAGCTCGCTAGCTATTTAGCCTCCTAACGTTACGCCCGTGTGTGATTTGGAGTTTTCTTTGCTAGACGATGTGTCACTGTGCGCTCTTCGCACACTACCTTCACGTTACAATGTGTCAACTCAACAGCCATGCAGCGATTAAAGAGGAAAAAACGGCAAAGCGTCACCGCGACCCCAGCTGGATACCTGACCAGGCAGGAGACAGCATGCATTGGGGGAACCTGCCACTCAAACCTCGATCAGTCACGATGATCCTCCGCGTCAATTTAACCAGAACATAAAACCCAGGGGTGGCAGCTGACCACCCGGAGAGCTTCACATACCATTCTCTTCACCGTTGAGACTCAGGAAGAGCTCTGTCGTGGCTTTTATCCATCTATCAGCGGTACTCTCAGTTAGCCTTGGAAGGAAAGCCCGGTAGACGTTGGAGAGATCCGCTTCGGGTGCAGCTCCAACGGAAGGTTGCCTTTTCATAATTGTGCGACTCCAGACTGACGCTGCATGACGAGCCGGCTGACTCAGCCAGCTCATTGTCACGTGGCGGAGGCGGAGCCAGCAGCCACATGTGCGCTTTGTTTTATTTCCTCTGTTTTTACGAAGACGCCACAAGGTGACGACGTACGCTAAAGCGATTAAATTCCGTTTTATTCATATAGTGCAAACCCGTATTAACAACTGTCGCGAGACGTTTTAAGATAAAGACCCTACAACCCCATCATCCAGCAATCCCACTTAAGCAAGCTCTTGGTAATGTTGGGGCGGAAGAGCTCCCTTTCCACAGGAAGAACTAGTGATGCGCGAATCATGAACGAATTGTTCAATACTCGAGAATCACTTTACTGACTCATGAATCATGATTCACAAGGCCAACTGACTCATCCCCGTTGCTGTTAGCAGCAATATATCTAGCTTATAATTAAAATTGTGGAGAAAAACACAACATCCAGTATCTTAACAAAAAAATTTCTGCTCTGAACTGGAAGAAAAAACCCTGAGTAGAAGCTCACATCAAAACAATAGCTCCTTGGTTCACAGTAGCATCGCTCTGCTAACAATGCTAACAGCACATTTGAGCTACTCACCCCCTCCCTTCCTGTGCTGAATCATACATTTCACACATCTCACACATTTTTTGCACTCTCTGGTCAACTGACTCAGTGAATCAAATGACTCAAAAATCCAATTCACTTTGGTGAGTGACTCATTAAAACTCGATTCAGTAAAAAGAATCAAATTTACCATCACTAGGAAGAACCGGGTCCAGGGCAGGGGTGGATCTAGAAGGGTGGCATGGGGTGGCATGTACCATCCTAAAATCATCTCTTGCCACCACAAGTGCTACTCTAGTTTTGCATATGACAGTGTTGTTTATTAAAATAAGATAGCATAAGCACTTTGAGCATAGTTACAGTTAAAAGTGATTATAAATTCTAAAACTGAATATATTGATAATTTCCTCTTACTTTTGTTGTTTTGCTTCCACCACAATAAAATCACAGTTCCTGCACAGCTCTCTCTAAGTGTACTTTAAGAACAGTTTCTCATCTAAAAATCAAAATTTTCTGCATTATTTGCTTTCTTATTACCCACCTGTCTACCGTTGTGTACAGTGTTTTTTTAATGACCTCCGACAAGAAAGCGCCATTTCTGCTGTTCAATGCAGAAGAAATGTAAACTTTTTAAAATGATGGCACATTGCAAAACACTTAGCTGTGTCTCTAATCAAACCTGTGTAACTTTGCTCTGCTTCACTTTAGCAGCATCAGGTAATGTTCATATGTTGATGCATGGTTTTCTTTTGTTTTTGTTCTACTGCAGAATATTTTTAAGGATATCTGCTATAAAAAGCCAGGCCAGAAAAATCTCGTTAATGTTTTTCTGTTTTATCCTCAGGTACTTTGACATGGTACTTTGGCATCTGCTGTGATGCTTACACCTCTGATGAAGTCTCACAAGTGTCAGTACTGATAAATGATCAGAATTATAATATTTCTGACTGTCTGAGACAAAATTTCCCCAATTCAAATTGAATCAAAATCGTGGATCGAATCGAATCAGGACCTTGTGAATTGGAATCAAATCGATCGTAGAAATCAGTGACAATACCCAGCCCTATTTCACACAGGTGGTTGGTTGGTGCACTCTGGAAATGGAATAAAGGTGAGTGTTATTAACCTTTTGGGGTCCACGGACACACAGCACCTCCAAATCACATAACTGATTTAAGATGACTTTAACCCCTGGAGGGTCTTAAGGACATTTATTGTCGTTAAGCACAAAGGTGGATGCATTTTTAAGACGCCTCCAGGTGTTAAGCTCCAATAAGCTGCAGCCACGCTGAGTCTCTATTTCAGCCTGTGTTGAAAGTTCAGACTTCAAAGTATACACCGGTTTTTAAATTTTAATGACAGACCACTAAATCCAGAGTTAAGATAAAAAAATATATATAAGCATTTTTTTCTAAATACTATTGTCTCATTTTGTGTGTTTTTGTTTTTAAAGCATTTTCTAAGGACAGCACAAAAACACTAAAGAAAAAAAATAGCCACCTCTTTCCTACTGGTGGAAAAATGTAGCATGTCGACCAATTCTTTTTTAAAAAGTCAACGCGTGGGATTTGGTTGTTTAGGAATAGGGGAAGGTTTTAGGAGTGATGGCAGAGAGACAGAACGAGCAAGTGAAAGAGAGAGACAGAGAGATATCGATAGCGAGTTTTGAGATGTGAGAGATTTGTGAGGTTTAGTGTGGAGTGTGTAGTTAGTCTGTTATGTAGTCGTTGTTTTGTTTTGTGTGTCAGTGAGGGCACTAATGACTGTGACAAACCACTAACCTACTGATCGGAAGGTTAGTGGTTCGATCCCTGGCTTCTCCAGTCTGTATGTCAAGTATCCTTGGGTGACATACTAACCTCAAGTTGCTCTCTGATGCAACATCGGAGTGTGAATGTGTATGAATATAGTTAGGAAGCACGCAGAAGTCTAGAAGAAAGTGCATGTGTGACTGGGTGAATGTGGAATGTTTTACTTACTTTGAGTACTCCAGGAGAGTAGAAAAGCGCTATATAAGAATCAGTCCATTTACAAAGGCAGATTGCAATGCAAATGCTGTCTCCAGGTGGAAAAGAGGTGTGATACACCTCCTGTTGTTAGGCCTGCAGGTTTATTGCTGTGGTGTTCTCCTCTGTCTTGTGGCAGACAAACATTTTTTTTTTTTACTGGCACAAATAATTTGTGGGGCATCTTATTAAGACACCTGATTGTTCTCTCATTTTCATTATAGTAATATTTTTAAATGGTTGTACAAAATAAAAAAAAAACAAAAACAAAAAAAACACCAGGTGTATTTGCTGCATTTGTTGATAAATAGTTGTATATGTTTACAAAATGTGTGTAAGTTTTCAAAATGTACAATTTATATTAGCATTTAAAGTTATAAAAATAATTTACTCAACACGTCTGTGGTTTTTACAGTTAAAAAAACAAAACAAAAAAACAAAACAAAAAAACACTACTAGGATTTTATGTTTGGTTTTTTTTATGTTTTATTCATGTCTCTAATCATCTGGCGTTTGCTAAAAATCTGACGTGGAAGAGCAATTTTACCTTTCAGAACAACAACCCAAGCACTGTGTGAAATGTACAGGTTATAGGTCATATTAAAGGTGGGAAAAACCTGTGAAATATATACTGGCTTATGTTTTTTCCCCCACAACAGCAACTTACATTTTAACAAGAATATGCTAAAATTCTTGTTAAAGAATTTAACACACACAAACGCACACACAGAACTGGGGTTGTTGTGCACTTCACCTATAGGAAGACTTTGTTCACTTAAAAGTCACAAATTAAAAATCAGAAAGCTACAGACAAGAACATGAAATACAATTCGTTTTTTTATTTAATATAAGGCAACGAAAGAAATCACATCTTACAAACAGGTTACACACAAACCCTAGTTATCAAAATAGCTACAAGTAATTTAAAGCCCAAACCCATTCCCAATGATGTAACAACTGCCAAGCTGAATATTATAAAGTGCGTTCTTATTCTCAATCATCACCAAGGCAAAGTTGTCATTATGTTTTTCTCAAAGTGAACCTGACAGAACTTTCAGGCGCTAAGCATGTGTTTTTAATCACTTTAATATCTCAGTTGCATCTACACAGCATTCATTTACCTTTCACATCAATCAAAATGTACTGCTTGAAGGATCATTTGATCAATAACATGTGTTCCCTTGCTTTGCAAATGTAAAATTAAATTGAGATTTTAAAAAAGACAAAGAAGAGAGTCCATATTCAACACTGTAAGTCAGCATCTTTCGCCGTCTACGGATCGGTCAGTTCTTTTCTCTAAAGAAAAGGAAAGACATGTTAATGTTTACTTTAATCTTTTAGTTTAGTAAGAAAGGCAGACTCATAGGCAGCATTTGAATTTATAATGCAAGCTGCATATATGATTTGTTCTACTAATAACAAACAACAGAGATAATGCATTCAAAAATTCATGCCACAGCTCTCCCACGTCAACTGCAAGCAGAATCATGCAAAGGGCAACATGAACACATTGGGAACTGCATGAAGGATGAGGCAGTTATTAAATCCTGTCCATTGAAAAAAAGCTGGAATGAGCAGAGAGTGGAAAAGGAAACAAAAAAGGACAAAAACAAACAAAAAACTAAAAAAAAAAGGAAATAAGTTAATGTCATTCCAGGGCCACAGCTTTTAGACAAGTCCACTTTATCATATCACTGGGAGTCACTTTAGACACATCAAAGATTATTTTCAGTCAACTGGAGACACCTAATGGCTAAAATGGTGTATTATTTCACACTCAAACCTCTGTCCTAAAATGTATTTGAATTTTAAAAGAGTTAATGTGTAGTTTGTCTTTAAATATCAAACTGACCCTGGAAATCAGGAGTTAAAATGTCAAAACAAAGGGTGATAAAGAAGCTGATAAGAGACAATAAGGCACTGCAGTAAGTGACATTAATGACAGGAGCGTTGCAGGGGAGAGGTCTGGGGTTTGGAGGGAAGCACACCTGGCAGCAAAGGTTCCCTGGATGAGTCCAAGACCTGGTGAAAATGAAGCCAGGTCAGAATTGTCTCTCTTTTACAGTTTGTGCGTGTCTCACTCTCATGGACATACGTACACACACACGCCCACACATTCACCCAGCCTTGCCAGAGTGTTACAAGTTTAATGTTTTGTGATGACTTTGAATGTCTGGATGGCAAATGTGAGAACCACAGATATTTTCATATTGGCTGCATGGATTTCCCTAAACCTTTCAAACATAATAAGCCTCTCTCGTGTGAGAAATAAATTTCAAGTTATAGTTTTGACTGATGGCTGTCTTTGTATCATAAAGGCAATCTCAGAACTAAAGGTATAGTTTAGATGCTTGGTTTTATTCTTTTGATTTAACAAGCTCAAACATTAAACAAACGATAAAACCATTTCCTAACATCCTTGAACCCTGCTGAGTTGCTTCTATATTTAGTGATTGCATGGTCCCGTCTATCACAAGCAACAATCATCTTATAAGCAACAATCAGCTTAGATAAACTACAATCGGCTTATCTATCAGATTTGTTATTATTTTATGCGCCATGCCATATGCTTGGGTCAGTTGATCAACAGCTTTTAATAGTTCAAAGAAGGAGACTGGTTTTCACTGTAAAAACGATCCATTTAAGACCAAGGAGTCAACCTCATTAAGTACTCAAATCTCAACTAAAAACACACTTGGTTTCATTATCCTTTCCAGTTTAACTGGTGTATTTCTTCTGTTCCTTCAAAAGCAGGCTTAATTTATTCTTGCTCTCCAACATTTCATTAATTTTGATTCTACTGTCATTCTTTTTAATTCTCTGTTTATTATGTATTTCTCAGTATATTGTAAATACTTTTTGCTTGGTACACCATCTCCAGCTGTTACAGATTTTAGTCAGAATGAACCTTAAAGTTGGATCAGAACTGCTGGATATGTTTATCTAGTCTAATATCACTGAGATTAACAGGAGAGGTAGCTGAATAACACTGCTACAGTATTCCGCAAATTTCCACGTGTCATGTCTGGAAAACAGAATTTATAGATATCATGTCCATTTTCTAGTTGCTTTTCCAATTCAGGGTCACCAAATGGTTGGAGCCTGTTCATGGTGAGGGACGGGGAACAGCTTGGAGAGTTCTATCACAGGGCTAAAACATAAGGACAGACAAACATTTACACTCATATCTACAAATATGCCCAACTTAGATTTAACCTAATATGCATGTTTTTTGGATTGTATATTAGGTCAGAGTTTACAGAAATCCATGCAAAGATAATCATCATTGTTTTCACATTTACCATCATTTAAGCCAGCAGCCGTTCCAGTTAAAACCATTCTCAGTCACAACGGGGGTCACATATTTTTAAGGTCAGGAAACAGTTAGACAACAGGGAAAATAGCCTGGAATAAACAGCATTCTTTGAGGCCAGCATGCAATTCAATATAATATAAGCACTTTTTTTGAACAGCCTGCTGTGTCAGGTGAGACCAGTTTTTTTTCACAGCTGACTTGTATATGAACCGCTGACAGGCATATTAGAAATGATGCATGCTATGGAACTCCAGCTGACAGCAAACAAGATTTTTCTGTTTGTTTTAAAACAGCTACCAGTCAAGAAAAACTCGCTCTGCAAGAATCCAGCAAGCAAAAAGTCAAGTTTTCTTCCAAGAACTCCAGCTAACACAGGAACACATAGGAAAACTAACAAGTGATCTTTCCCTTTTCCTCCTTTTTTAACGGATTGTCATTTCATTATGGTAAACAAAGACAGCCTACAACTAAAGCATGTCAGGATTTCCATATTAGTAAGGTAAATTATTAATAATCACGTAGTCTGTGACTACACTTCTTATTCCGTCCTCTGGATTTAAAAAGAGCAAACTGTTGACAGATTTTTTTTCTTTAATGAACCGGTATTGACAGTCAAATATGACAGCTACAAGAGGAATGACGTTTTTTGGAATAATAGAAAAACACCAATACAATTCTCCCTCTCCTCCTCTCACCTGGTATGTGGTTCCAGCCCAGAACTGCTTCATCTCCCCCCTGCAGCCTGCCACCACAGCAGAAGTTATCACAGTGAAGGGCACTAAGTAAAGCAGAGCAGGCTGTCCCATTCCTGACAGCAACATCACGATGAATGTCAGTATCATTCCCAGGAAATAGGCTAAAAAGAAATATGAAGAAGGAAAGAGATATGGTAAACTTAAAGCTTACACCTGGCTTTATATGGCAGCCTTTCAGTTGACAAGTGTGAAAAGAGACTCAGTAAAAAGCTAATTCAGTGCACTTGTAAATAAAACTTTATTACTACATCAGCTAATAAACCTCAAAGACTAAAAAGTAAAACTGCAGCTAAATACAAGTGAACCCTTTGAAAGTACAGAGAATTGAACTTGCAGGTCATAAAAATGGTAACAAACAAAATGATGCATAAAAGCTATATTCATGTATTCAATAGTAAAACTAGGTAGTTATCAACAGTTCAAGCTGGAAAAAGTTGTGCTAACGACTTGTCTTTGACTCATGTGCTCCAATTAAGAAGATGACATTTGAAGTAAGGGTTGTAATTTTTTTTTTTTTTAAATAAAGTTATCCTCGAGAGATTACTCGGTTTGAATTATACTTCAATGTCAACAATGTTCAAAAGATAAATTACAGAGATGTAATGAGCTGGAAAAGCCTGTAAAGTATTTCTAAAGGCCTTCTATTCCACTTATCCAGTTCGAGGGCTGGAGACCCGACAGATAGTCAGTTTGCTGTGGGGCTCATGCTCAAATTCACACCACGACCAATTTAGGATCATCATTCGCCTAAAATCATATCTTCAGACTGTGGGATGAAGATTGCAAAAGTCCACTTTTAGACAATGCTCTGTGGCCAACTATTGAACCATTTTAAGCTTAAAAAAAAGAAAATAAAAAATATCTTGTTTGGAGGTATAAGGCATTGCACACCAACACATAAATGTCATCCAAGCTGCAGAACACGGTGAAAGGAACATCACGGTCTGTTTGCACGTGTTCTTATAAAATACTTCGTCAGTGCAGCGACACAATAAATTATGTTTGGTATGCCAATTTTAAAGAGGAAGGAGAGAGAAGAACATGATGAGTATACCAACAGGACTTTGGATTTGAGCAAGGTTGTCACTGACTCTGTTGAGAACAAGGTCAGTAAGATGCAGTGGTATTGGGTGAGTCTGGGCTTTTTGTAAACATTATTGAAAAAACATTACCACTTAAATGTTGGAAATATGCATTCACACAGTCCCATTATCATGCTATTAAATATTATAGATTACTGCTATGCAATATTATTTTTTGCTTTGTGCGCTTATATGTATGTATAACAAAGAGATAACAGAGACCAAGTGAATGAGGTAGTGTGTTTGCATTGGTACAACAGCATTAAAAATCCAAGGGAAAAAAAACCCATTTTGCAATTCTGAGAATTTCTAATGGAGACCGTTGTGACTGAAAGAGGTTCTACAAGTCACGTAAGTCAAGAGTTCACTTGCCTTTTCCAGCCTGCACTGTGAATGATTTCTCAGTTTGTGTAATAAAGACATGAAATGTACAAATGTTCTCGTGTTATCAGTTAAGTCATGTTGACACAGATGAAGATCAGACCACATTTTATGAGTAATAAAACTAAAAAGAGCTCATAAGCGTTTGCGTGACATTGCATGAAGTTCAATATGAAGAACGTGAGTTCAGTCCTGGCAGTCAATACAAATGACTGATCATATGCAATATGATAAGAAAAGAAGAAAAGAAAAGAAATGGTGTACGTTTAAACCAGCAATTCACTCAAACAGATCGGGGTTTGGCAAAAATCAAACCCCGATCTGAATATTTTCCCCCTTTTCACAAAATTCAATGACTTTACACACAAGACATTGTGTGTGTGTGTGTTTGTTTGTTTTTTAAATCCATGAAAATTAATGACAGACCCAACAAAATGATAACAGATGTGTGATACCTATGCAGCAACTGACGAAGTAGACTTTCCTCTTGCTCTTGATCCAAACATCAAACCTGCTGCAGTAGGCAACCAAAAGACCTGTGGGTCCAACAACAATGCAGGGTGAGAGCCACTCATCATTACACTTAGATCATCCAGTATGAAATCCTGTATGTATGGGTTAGTGACTCATTCATTTCCCCCCCTATTTACAGTTAATGATGTAAAGAGACTAACCGAAGACGTATGAAATCAAAAGAAGAGTCTGGCTAAACTCAAACCACGGACTCTGCATTTATTGAGTAAGCACCCTAACATTTTGCTATCAAGTTGCAATTTTAAATTAGTTTTCCTATTTTGTTCTTTGTGTTTTTGAATCAAAGAAACAGACTAGATATTTTTAAAAACAAAAACAAAAAAACAACAACCTTTATTTGTATTAAAAACAAAATCTAACACATTGTTAAGAATTGCTTCATATGTCTAACTAATGTTTGTACACAGAAATGCTCACACATATAAGCAGTGGTGTAAAGGTGAACTGTGAGAGCGTCTACATCCTTACCTGGGACAATGATGTCGCCGTAACCCAGGATGGAGAACTGCATCATACACAGGTTCTGAGCCCAAGCTAAGAGACGCGGGACACGCATCACCACAGGAAGCTGAGAAAATGAAGCATTACAGATGCTAAAAATGACAAAAAGGCCAACAGCAGAAATCTTGTTCAGTGTCTTTGTGTTCCACCTAATCTGACGGCCGTCCCTTAGCTTTACTTGAATCCAACCTATAGCAGGTACACTTTTCTACACTGCTGTAGATTACTTTGCATATTTTCTGATACACAGACATTTCCAGCTAAATCTTTCATTTCCATATTTCAGAATCCATCCGGTCTGCGTAGACATAAAGAACGAAGCTCTAAACAAAAGGACTGCTATCATTTATTGTTGTCTGTATTGTGTTTTTGTAATACCTGAACTGAACTTCTTAAATCTTACCTCCCACTTTTATTTTTTCCACAATAAGATCGAGAACAAGCAAACCCACTCAGGAATTTAGTAAAATAAAAAATGAAAACCAAAGAAAAAAAAAAGCTAGTCACCATGTGTGTAGGCAATTTTTACACAAATCAATAAGAATACAAAACAATTTGTCTCAAGGAGTATGAAAATAATGCATTCCTGATTAATTAATGAGCTGTAAAACTGCTGCTCTAATCTTTCTTAAGCAATATTGCTGGAAAATGTGGTAACTTATAAGCACCCATCACCGTGCACCTTTTTTATTAATATCCTGTAACAAAAACATGCGTGTGCACATAACTAGCTCACAACATTACTTGCTGCAAACAAACAAAAAAAAACATCTTTCTCGTGCCAAAAAGATATTTTTAATCATATTAGTTTCTTCTTAACCACCTTCTGGACATGCATGACAGACATGCATATAGATACACGTATATAAACCTTTTATCATTTTAACATATGTATATATGTACACATTTTAACATATGTACACATTTACCCAATCAAAACGTAAAATTAGTTCTTTCACAGACTAAAACATCAACCGCCACCGTACCTCCCTACCGTACCTCAGCTATCATTACAACAAAAACAAAACCAAACAATAAAGGAAAAAGTAGTGGATGGGTAACAAGTCAAGCCTTACTTTCTCAGAGGGAGGCTGGGGTTCAGCGGGGATCTCCACACCTTGTGTCTAAGACAGAACCCGCCCAACCCCAGTGCACAGTTAGTCTATTGTTCCCCTCAGGGCATCTACAACAAGCAGTCCATGTCAGCTGGGTTGTTAATGAAGCCATAACAAACGTGTAAGGGAGTTCCACCAAGCCCATCTTATAGTGCTCCGTTTGTGACTCTGGTAAAGAGTGATTTTTTTTTTTTAACCCACTTCCTGAACCCAAATTTATACAAGTGAATCTGAGTATTAAAAGAAGAGTTACAATGCAGATTAGTTTGTCCATTAGACATAAAATGTTGCCTTAATTAGGCTGTGAATTTTTATGTATACAATAGTGTGAAAAGTCTTGAGTTAGCCCTCATGTTTTTATATTTTGCTAGGAAAATGAAAAAATATGGTTGAAGTGATTCCATGATGGTTGAACCAGGACTCTTAGGCTTCTTGAACAAGACAAAAAGCTTTTCTTTGGGTATTGGCTGCCTTTTCTTTTGTTCTCTGTTAAGATGATCCCACATTACCTCAATAATTTTGAGGTCTGGGCTCTGGGGACACCAATCGATGACTAATAGTGTTCCACTGTGTGTTTTTTCTATCCAGGTGTGCTTTTACTGTGTTGGAAGTGTGTTTGCTGGGATCATTCTCGTGCTGAAATATGAAGCTGCTCCAGCCCCAAACTCTGACAGAAACTCTGCTGCCTTTTACAGATGGCTGCAGACATTCACTATTGTCCCTCCCTCCTGACCTCCTTTGTACATTTTGATCATTTGGATTTAACACCCAATGGGACCTGTTGCCACTGATTTTCAGTCCAGCACTTGTGAATTTGGTATACCTCAGCTTCGTCTCATTTTCTCCTGTTTCTTAAGAATTGCTTCTAGACAGTTACTGTATCTGATGAGGGTAGATATTTTTAGTCTGTTACTTCTTCTTTTCTTCTCTACTTGTTCAGCTTCCTTAATTTTTTTAAGGACGCTCTGCACACCATGCTAAGATATGGTTTTTAGCTAATAACTTTATTTCCAACAGCCTTTTTTCTAAGCTGTCTGTTAAGCGTAGACACAGAGGTTCATCTTTTTTTAGCTTTGAATTATTCATCGGTCAGTGTTAAGTAACCTAATAAACATTCCCCTGAAAACGAGTGAAAAATCAGCCAATGGCCAAAGAAAAACTTTGGCAGACCTTTAGAAACCCTGGAAAATTTTTGCTCAAGACCAGTTTAAAAGACAAGTCTGGCTCCATGGATGGGAAATATAAAAAAAATAAAATTCTAAGTGACCTTCTAGTCTTTATGGCACACGTTTGAAGAAATTCTCTCATAATGTGAAAGAGATTTTGCATTCACATCAGTACAGTCAGACTTGGATATGGATAAAGCCAGCTGTGAAGAAAAAAATTGGGGTTTTTTTCCAAATTAACAATAGCCCTAAAAACAGTTTGGTGGAGTTCCCCTTCAAGATGGGAAACAATGCAGGAAGCTTACCTTCTCTCCAGATGCATCTGGGCCCAGGGCAACCTGCACCATGATGCTTACTCCATTCTGTGGCAAAGGGGGAGATGCCAAGCATTCATATCAAATTACTTAATGAAAATGAAATAACATCATACTAAAACACCAGAGCAAAATATCCTCAGAAAGGCCCTCAGAGAGTGCAAAAGCTAATGCCTCATCTCATGTTGTCTAAGCGATCTTAGATTAGATTAGATTAGATAGAACTTTATTAATCCCTCGGGTGGGTTCCTCTGGGAAATTCGATTTCCAAAAAGCACAGCACTGACAGAAGTTTCAGAGTTAAGATCTAGATCTAAACCAAAATTTAGACAGAGTGTACTCACACTAGACATAGTTGCCTCGCCTGAGCACGACTGTTATACATCCCCACTCCCCTTATGGCTTGTGCTCATATAAACCGGAGTAAACTTCAGTTTGTTTCGCTCACCCTCTTTCGTAGACTGTTGCTGTTGAAAAGCACTCCTGCAGAGCATCAGTTTGTCATTGACGAAAAAGTGAAAATCTATGCTCAGGCCTGTGGACCACTCACACTACTGTGCTCAAGCATTCCTGAACCGTAAAGATTCACTTATCTATATCCAGGCATGGCATCCAGTGATCTAACTAGTACAACTAGACTTTGCCTCAATTCAGTACAGCTGAAATTCCTTCTGCCTCAGATCAGATCCACAACAGAATTTCACAGAGGTAGTCAAACTAAATAAATTCAAGTCATTTTTAATTGTTCTTATGGCTGCCAATGTTATATATAAACCTTATGGCTACTTCTTTGCCTGAGACGACTCTATTCTGAAGTTTTAAATGTTTTAGCTCTGACGTTTTTAGATGTTTCTGCATCTGACTTTTTTTATATGTATAAACTTATTTTGTGGAATTTCTTGTTTGTTTTATTAGTAAACTTACTTTTGGCTTTCTCAGCTTATACGCTCCTGGTTAAATAAAGGTTCAACTATAAGAAAGTATTATTCCCTTTTCCATGCCACACATCTACATTAATTTTTATTAAATTAGGGTGATATTTTTGTAGTTTGTGCACAAACTTGCTAATAGACAAAAACATCCAAGGTGTACATATCAATTTGTGTGCAGGGTTCACTTCATATTAAAAAATAATAACTAATTCAGTGTATAACTAATATTTGATGAGTGGATTCTCAAATGTGTCAGACCTTGAGGCAATAAGAGCAGCAAATGCAGAGAAATAGCAAAAACTTCATTTTTTAAAAAAATCAATAACAACATTACTGCTTTAGCAACAAGATACAGATAAAAAACAAAAATAAAGATAAACATACCTTAGTGAAGAAAGGAGTGATGAAAACAAAGAAGACATCATATACAAGCAGGAGGCTCAGAAGAATCACACAGATCTTCGAGAAATTGGAAAGAAAAAATTATCACCAACTACATGGCTCAAAACTCCATGTGAGGAAATCTGCTAGAAGCTTTGTGAGTGTGATAACATTTTTAATCAAATATCAAAGACGGGAAAAAAACAAAAATTCTTAGGAATGGAGCACTGCCTGACATTCTTACAGGAAGTGTTGATAAATATGAACAAATATATATTTGTATAAATAGAACAACTACAGTGCAAGTATTCATTGTACAAGAAAAAATACCTTGAAATTGGACAGTGAAATTGTCTTCATGAAGTTGAGGCAGAAAGCAATGCCAAGGAGGTCCTGCAGAATCCAGATCCATCTGCAAGACATAAAGACCTCTTTGACTTTAGGGTTTTCATTACTTTAAATGTAGCTATTTCAGGATAAACTGTCTCATAAACATTGTTACAATTTTCTGGGTAATTTTAACCTACAGTGTTGTAGAAATTCACCACCACAGTGGTGTAACCATGTCTGAAAACTGACAGGACTGTGAATGTGTACCTGTCTTCATTTCTGTACACTCCCCAGACCACAGAAATGCTAATGCACACAGCAGCCAACAAGAGAGACCTCACTGAAAAGTTCCAATTCCGGACAGAGAACCTGGAAAAAGACACAGAGCCACATTTAGGTAGAAACAAAGAAACAAAAACAAAACAAGTAAAATTCTTGCACACATTCACCAAAACGCTGATGTTTGTTTGAAGCTTTTCAAGCTTTAAACCACTGGTCTTTTTAATATAAAAACAGAAAAAAAAAAGTTTTTTAAATGTTAGTAACACATCAAAAATCAGACCTTTACTATCCATGAATCACTTGGATCTTGCAGTACTTAATTTCCCCCTTCTGCCTAGATTATTTTACCTCACCATTTGTGTGAACCACTCACTCAACGACAGCATCCCCCCCCTCTGTGACTTCTGGAGAAATTCACAATTCATTTTTAACTTTTACATGGCTAAGCTCCTCATTTTACTGACCTACCGTACATTCAACCAATTTGCTATACGTTAATTTTTATCTTTTCGTCACTTTAACGCAGTAATTTCCCCAGGTTTTTCAATACAAACAAAATAATATCTCACTCAAAATTAGTCGCCAGGAACTAGTCAATAGTAAAAACTCTCTCTAAAGGTCTGATATCTATTTAATGTTGTAACTACAATGATGTGGTGTATATTTAATGTGGTTCCAAAGTCTGAGGCTCATACCTTAAAGTGCCGCAACCGATTTTGTCCATCACTGCATCAAAACAGCTATAGAGCGCAGAGGCAGATGCCAGGCAGAAGATAACAATAATGACGTAAACTGGAGAAAAATAAATAAATAGATCATATCACCAAAACTCGAGGTAAAATTACTCTGTTAAACAACCAGGAACTGATAAAAAAACAAAACTAAAAAACAACAACAACAAAACCCTAACCGAGAACTTTGTAGAAGAAGTACATGAGGACGAGCATCCCGCACATCAAGGCAACAAAGATAACCACTTTGAGAGGAGAGTACAGTGAAAGCTCTCCACTGTCTGCTTTGCTTTCTCCTCCTCCTCCTCCTCCTCCAGACGCACCGCTATTCAACCGTTCCCTGAAACACACAAACAAAAAACCCCTCTTTGAACTGTGTTTGAATTAGAAGAAACAAAACAACATCAGGCAGAATGAAATGTGAAGCAATGCAATACATATGATCTCAGCAAGAGTACATTTAAATGTCACTTGCTCACATCATTATCACCAATTGACATTACACAGTTAATGATATTTTGACTGCATATGAAAAAAATATATAAATCAATGTGTTTTCTGCTATGTTTGGTTTATTTTTAATGAGACATCATTACAGACACGAGTTTTCAGCTCACAGCTGTATAATACTGAAAAATCTCACCTCTCACACGCCCCGCTCCAGTAGCCGCCCAAAACAACTGTGCCAATGGAAATCAGCAGGATGACTGCAATGCTTGGATCGATCTTTGTGGAAGGTGGAGCATACAGCTTCACCTGCATCTCATTCCCGAAGACCTGAGGACGCATGTAAAGAGTTAAAAATGGTCATCAGATTCAAACAAGACATATTAAAGGATTTATTAAAAAGAAAAAGTTCTCTGACCTGCCAAGCTTCCAGGAAATCCTTGTACCTCATGAGAGCGAGAGAAATATTGACCTTCGCGTACTCCGACTCGTTGGCTGATGGGATTGTCTGAAGACATTTTTATAAATATTATCAGTGATTTGGGAATGTTTCAAGTATAATAGAGCAACAATAAAACAAACAAAAAACACTTCGAGATGAGACTTTTTTTAATAAACTGACTCTAGATCAATTAAACTGCATAGAATTTAATTTTTTGTGAGGTGGTAGAAGTATCAGTTTTACCGCTTGCTTTTGTTGTGAAAGTGTTCGTGCAGGGACAGAAGTACAGGGCAGATGTGTATTAGTGGTCTTGAGACTCAATGCACTCTTTATGATTTGGTGGATTGGTGATCACCGATCACAGGATGCAACACTGGCGTATATTTTTCAATAAAGCAACACTGGGTAAGCTTACAGTTTACTTCTTCTGTTACTAGTCACCTTGGACATTTGGAGGAAGATCTAAACATAAATATACTGTTGCCGCACAGCAAGAAGGTCCTGAGTTCAATTCCATCATCAGGCCGGGGTCTTTCTGTGTGGAGTTTGCATGTTCTCCCCGTGTTTGCATGGGTTCTCTCCGGCTACTCCGGCTTCCTCCCACAGTTCAAAGACATGCAGCTTGTGGGGATAGGTTAACTGTTTAATCCAAATTGCCCATAGGTGGGAATGTGCGAGTGAATGTGAGTGCGAATGGTTGTCTGTCCCTGTGTGTTGGCCCTACGACAGACTGGCGACCTGTCCAGGGTATACCCCGCCTCTCGCCCTATGACAGCTGGGATAGGCTCCAGTGCCCCTCGCGACCCTGAAAAGGATAAGCGGAAGCGAATGGATGGATGGATCTATTGTTAAATATGAAAGCATTATAAGGTATTTAGTAAAGGAGACAGGGCTTTTCTTCTTGTTTTTACACTGCATTTTTTACATATTTTAAATTTGTATGGGTGCAAACTTGGGCAGGTCCTGCGTGTGAAAGGGATTAGATCTCACTGGGAGCTCCTGATTAAATGAATGTTATTAAAATTTGACTTCAGTTAAATTTAAGTGAACAACACATGTATGCTCTTGGGTGTCGGCCTTGTAACAGCAACTCTAATATGAGGTATCTGTTTGTGAAGACATAAAGCAGATTCATGTCATAATTTAAAATTAATCAATAAAATTTCAAATTGTCTAGTTAACAGTAGGGCTGCCACGATTTGTCGACTAGTCACGATTACGTCGACTATCAAAATCGTCGACGACTGATTTAATAGTCGACGCGTCGTTTGAAGCTTTGTAAGATCCCAAAAGACCCAGGAATAAGTAGCAGGATTTAAGAGTGTAATAACGGACTGAAACAGAAGATGGCAGCACTGCATGTACAAGGATGCCAGCTGCCGTTAAACCCCGAAGAAGAAGAAGAAGAAGAAGCAGCTTTGTCCCAGAATTCATAGCGCGGCCCAGCTTAGTTTCCAACAATGGCGGTAGCTAGTTAGTTTTAATATTACTCTTATTATTCTTTCTGGGTCACAAAATAAACGTTTAACATATTTTCAGGCGAGAATGTAGCTGTGTAAACCTCAAATATCGGCTCAGTTTATCAGGACACCACATATTTTCAAAAGCGCTCCGACGTTTTCGGAGACATCTGTTACCCACTAGCTCGATAGCTAGCCGGGGGCTAGGTCACTAGCGCTGTGAGAACACCGGACTCCCGGCAAATTGTTTTCAAACCCACCGCCGTCTTTCGCTACTCAGGTTAAATATATATGAGTCACTTAGATAAATTAAAAATGTTGTTGTTTGGCTTTTTTTTTTTCAGTATTTTAGTTGTTCCTGAGTAAATCGGTTTGTCTGAGATTAAAGTTATAGTTTTTACACAGCTGAATAAACGTCAAGCAGACAGCTGATCATCAGAAGTGTGAGATGCTGGAGAATTTACTCCGGTGTCCTGTTATATTTTAGATAGCAAGGAGTTTATTAAACTCCACCGAGACAATCTGCTAATTTCATTAAAATTGAATAAACTATCATCTTGTCTTTATTTTTAGTTAGCACCTTAAAAGCTTAAAGCTGTAAGCTAATGATAGTTATATAAGAGTAGATGCTGCTGGTGCAATAAGCTGTAGTTTTACGTCCAGTGGATGATGATCTGATTAGTCGACTAATCGCATAAATACTCGGTGACTAGTCGACTATCAAAATAATCGTTTGTGGCAGCCCTAGTTAACAGATGAATGAATTACAATGACACCAAACTATTTCACAAGGCAATAAAGCATTTTTAGATGGAAATCCCCACAGAAACACCACATCTGTATCATTTCCTGAATCACGCCTTTGTCTAGCGCACTTCTCTGATCACCCAAAAGCAGCAAAGAGGAAATAATAACTAACCATAAAAAAAAAATTTAAGGAAGATCTCAAATCAGCTTAATCAAGCTAACATCTTACCAGCGTTTTATTGCTGGCAATGAGCAAAGCCATCGCTCCAAGTCCCTGAGCGATAAGGGCCTTCTGGCTGAAATCACAGTTGCCCCTCATCACCACCAGAGCCTTGCCCATTACTGAAGATGCATTGATCCCTGAGCTGTCACACAGCAGAGAGGAAGTCATATTCACCAACTGGTACTCCATCTGAAAAAGTCCATTAACACTTACAGTAAGACAGTGTTTGGAAAGGTGTCAAAACCAAAAGAGCTGTAAAATAGAAAAACTTACTGCAGAATTCAGTGACTGTGCCAGTGGGGTCCAAGAGTGATTGTGAACAATGCAGAACTCCCTCTCTGTATCTCCATTTGAAATATGCGAGATCGCTTCCTGGCCATTTATCTATTGAGAAAGAAATAGTACCCCTTTGATACACTACATATGGAAAATATCTGAACCCAGCCCTGCTTTGACAGTAAAATGTTATCCATGTTCAACACACTTAAGGCTCATTGAGTACCTTGTCATAAATCATTCACACTGAGCCAAGGGACAAATACAAATAAATACAAAATATGGTATAAAATGGTATCAAAATCACATTATGCTCTGAACTATTCATAAGTGCAATAATCTATTTTTTATGAAGAGTACTTCAAGCATTTGCCCACACAGATGCATTTGGAGAGTTAAGAACAACAATTTTTTTCCCCCAGCTAATGGATCTTGTTCATCACTTTTCCATTTCCGAACAAACAAAAACAAAACCCATCAATGCTTACATCATCTGTGTTGAGATCTACAACCTACTAGATGATACTATAAATCTGCTAATGCTTATTGGGTTAGTTTATGCTACAGCATCCTATTAATGAAATAGGATAATTAATTAAAAGTAACTAGGTTAATTTAAATACATTCCAACACTATCACCATCAAATCTCAACAACAACAGCCCAACAGCCCATGTATGTTAGGATATACAAATATTTTAATATTATATAGGACACATGAATGAAGGAAAAGTTGCCAGCTTTTCTTGTAAATCTGCCACTTTTCCCCATAAATTTGACATTTATCAGAAAGTTTTTTTCCTTATATATTTTACATTATTTTCTCATAAATTTAGCTCATACATTGGGGTATAGATCTCATGATTTTTTTTCCTTTAAAAGTTTTATACATTTTTTTTAAAGAGGGGGGACTTGGATTTTAGCCCAGCCACTTATTAATCACTTTATTTTATTATCGCTGTCACAGTAATCCGTAAACTTTATTTTGTACTCTCAAAGTTAGATATCTCAAAGTTTCATGCCACTTGTCAGCTTTAGTATAGAGTCCCACATGAACACCCGCGCTGTGATCTGCTCACCCAAACGTAAACACTTCCTTGTTGGTGACGTCGCGGAAATCACCGTCTTCAAGTTCCATGGTTTCGGTAAAATTAGATTAAAACGGCCAGCACAGTTATATCTATCTTCACTTCAGCTTTCTTTAAAACAACCTTACCCTAACAGCAGAGCAGTAAAACAGTTTTCCGTGTCGTAGCGCACTGAGGCTAACTGAAATGAACACGAGAGCTAACAATTAACCGCAGTTTGAACGGTTGTATTACAAGAAAACACAATCCCTGAGATAGAGACTAACACGGTCTGCCGACTACATGCTCAACATTTATTCAAAACGTTAACAGTCACAGCTGACCGTTTTTTTCGTCGGTAAGTTTGGCTATCAGGCCCGTCAACAGCTAGTTATCAACATTCACCAACTTACCTCCGACGCTAAACAAAGGAGCGACAAAAATACGACTGCGACAGTTCCTTCCATCTTGTTACCACTCGTTTTTACCTATCCAGACAACATGAAATCACTTCTTTACGGCACGACGACACTTTCTACCCCATAAGCTGTTCCATCATGGCTGTGGTTTAGCTGGCTAGTAGTTGCCGGGGGACTTCCTGTATCGGCTTGTGACATAAACCTGCTGAGCCGCGAGTTTCTGTTTCACCCCAAAGCGTCAGAACAACAACACATATGGCACACGCACACACACTCCTCGTACTAACCACGATTTTAGCACCGTGTAACTTTGGAGACGTTTAAGTTAAGTTTCTTTCACTTAAATAATAAGTGGCAGATAAATTATAATGGCCAGTGTTTAAAACAGAGCTCTAATTCTTTCAAAGTTAAGAAAAGACAACTTTCTTCTTCTATTTTTACCAGATATTTTCTCATAAATGTGACATAGTTTCTCATCAATTTGCTTTTGTTTTCTTATTAATATGCAATTACCCTTTCCTTGTACCCAGCTTTTTTTTTACTTATAAATTTTTTTAATGAATTTGTCCTGTTTCTTCTCATAAATTGGCATTTTTTTCTTGTAATCTTGCATTCTTCTACATAAATTAGCATATTTTTTTTCCAGATTTGTCTGGCAAATTGGCTTTTTTCATTTTTCATATTTTAAAATTTGCTCACAATAATGTTTTTTTTTGGTTGTAAATTTGACAATTGTTTTCTTGTAAAATTGCCTCTTTGTTTTTACTGTAACCAAAGGCAAAGAAAAACTGCAGTCAATTTATGTCCAAAGCACCTGTTTCCTGGGTTTTATTAGATATCAACAGAACCAGGGTTCAGTGCTAGGACCACTTCTGTTTACATTATTCCCCTAGGCAGCATCATTAGAAGACATAGCATACATTTTCACTGCTATGCAGATGGCACGCAGCTCTATCCACGAAGCCAGGTAACACACACCAATTAGTTAAACTGCAGGAATGTCTTAAAGACATAAAGACCTGGATGGCCGCTAACTTTCTGCTTCTTAATTCAGATAAAACTGAGGTTATTGTACTCGGCCCTGAAAATCTTAGAAATATGGTATCTAACCAGATTCTTACTCTGGATGGCATTACCTTGGCCTCCAGTAACGCTGTGAGGAACCTTGGAGTCATTTTTGACCAGGACATGTCCTTCAATGCACATATTAAACAAATATGTAAGACTGCTTTCTTCCATTTGCGCAACATCTCTAAAGTTAGAGATATCCTGTCTCAGAGTGACGCTGATAAACTAGTTCATGCATTTATTACTTCCAGGCTGGACTACTGTAATTCATTATTATCAGGATGTCCTAAAAACTCGCTGAAAAGCCTTCAGCTAATCCAAAATGCTGCAGCAAGAGTCCTGACAGGGACTAGAAAGAGAGAGCATATTTCTCCTGTTTTGGCTTCCCTTCATTGGCTTCCTGTTAAATCCAGAATTTAATTCAAAATCCTGCTCCTCACATACAAGGTCTTGAATAATCAGGCCCCATCTTATCTTAAGGACCTTGTAGTACCATATCACCCTATTAGAGCACTTCGCTCTCGCACTGCAGGCTTACTTGTTGTTCCTAGAGTATTTAAAAGTAGAATGGGAGGGAGAGCCTTCAGTTTTCAGGCCCCTCTTCTGTGGAACCAGCTTCCAGTTTGGATTCGGGAGACAGACACTATCTCTACTTTTAAGATTAGGCTTAAAACTTTCCTTTTTGCTGAAGCATATAGTTAGGGCTGGACCAGGTGACCCTGAATCCCCCCTTAGTTATGCTGCAATAGACGTAGGCTGCCGGGGATTCCCATGATGCATTGAGTTTTTCCCTTCCAGTCACCTTTCTCACTCCGTATGTGTTAACAGACCTCTCTGCATTGAATCATGTCTGTTATTAACCTCTGTCTCTCTTCCACAGCATATCTTTCATCCTGTTTTCCTTCTCTCACCCCAACCGGTTGCAGCAGATGGCCGCCCCTCCCTGAGCCTGGTTCTGCTGGAGGTTTCTTCCTGTTAAAAAGGAGTTTTTCCTTCCCACTGTCGCCAAAGTGCTTGCTCATAGGGGGTCATATGATTGTTGGGTTTTTCTCTGTACCTATGAAGTGCCTTGAGGCGACTTTTGTTGTGATTTGGCGCTATATAAATAAAATTGAATTGAATTGAAGTTGGACTCAGATCAGGCTCTAGTACCAGTTTGCACCTCAAGAATGAGTCAGTGTGATTTTTTATTTAAATAGGAATTTAATTTCATCCCAGCTGAAAAGTTTCAGCATTAGGTGATATCATTGTATCACTATAGTTATACTCTAAAGCTGCAGTTTGGTTCCATAATGTTTTGATGTATTCATCCTTTTGGTTGCTCTCATTTATTTTCAGCCCAGTAAACTAATAGTTATAGCTGATGGCAGTGTGTTTGAAGTTAAATCTAAAGGTTTTCTTCAAAACTTCCTTCTTTTTGGGGACCGGATATGCAATTTGTAAATTGTTCTTATTCTTAGAGTCAGAAAGGAGGATTATTTAACTTGCGTTCATTAGCTAACATCTTATCAGTCTCAAGTCTTTGGCCACTGATCAGGCAGTCAGACCTCGCTTAGCCTTTTGGGTAATAAAATATGAAGATAGTGTCAAAGAAAACATTTGGCTTTTTCCTAACCACTGGGTGGTTGCATCCATTGTTTGTACTGTCTGGTTAGAAGATGGTTTTTGAGTTGTAATCAGAATTAGATTAGGCTACGGTTTGTGAGGGGCTTGGCACTTTTAAGTAAGCAAGATAAGCATTACCTCTCTGTTTTTAATGGTGATCTATCCTGTTACATCGTATTCCTCAGCACCAGTTAGTTAATAACAGTGTCAGTGCTTGTATGTACAGTCAAGTGCTTATGGAACCAGATATCTCAAACACATCTGCCTTTGCCACTTAAACCTTTAAAACCAGCTGAATAAAAACAATAGTAGAGCTTGTAGATAGATGGACAGCTAGTTTGAGGGCAGATCATGTCGGCAGTATCTAGCAGCTTTTGTAAGATTTCCCTCAAGGTTCACAGTTTTTATGATGGGATTTGATATGAATTTGCTTTCATTTGTTATCACAACATCAACAACATGTTTGTTTGTTTTTTTGCAGGCAATGATAACTTAATGGCTTAATGTGCTTTTCCTGTTTGTTGGAAAAATGAACCACATGGAAACTGATTTACAGGTGTACAAGGAGACTTCCTCCCTCATCCCTGGAGCTCAGCAGCATCTAAAAAAAAGATAAACACTGCAGCTGCTTCCTTCGTCTGACCCTGACTGAGAAGCCAGCAGCTGCAACTGTGCCCCGAGGTGTTTATTTTGAATCTGTCACTTTAAAAAACGCTCTCTCAGTTACTGCATGGCTACTGCACCACTGCTTTAGGTAAAGACTGTGTGTGATATTGCTCTCAGTGCGTTTTGAGTTTAAAATATTTCAGATTTAAGCAGCCATAGCATGAACTTCTATTCATATATACATAAATATTTCACTGGAAGTCTATTTGCATGTAAATAGACTTCACCGATGCAAGTACCCCAGCCTGCCTGTACACACACGTTAAAGGTGAAATATTTGGGGTGTCATGAGATTCAGATTTGCACTCATTTGCACTGCTGTGATGGTGACCAAACCATTTACCATCCCTCTGTTTGCCTATTTTTTTTCTTTTAAATAAAATTGGACTAACAACATTTGAACAAACAGCAGAAGTTATGTTGAACAAATACCTGACATTCAAAGAGATTTACTGCTCATCTAAACTATTTTTTTAGTTATACTGAGAAAACGCCAACATGATTTCATGTTTTTTGTAACTTTTCTCTGAGATGAGAATGTCAATGTCATCCTTCTGGACTAACAGCCAGATTACCATGGTGTTTTCAGAGTTTCAAGGATATTAGTGAAGCTTCAGGGTTTTAGGTATGTTAAGTTTGTGATTTGACCCTGAGAACACTGAGATGGAAAGTGCCGTAACAAGAAGAATAAAAACAAAAGGAGAGCATTTTCTGGAGGGAGATACTCTCAGAAAGGGAATTTTGTTAATGCTTTCTTCCTGGTAGATCCTCCCAAGCTTCACTAGAATAAATGTGATGAGTCTGTGATGATCATCAACACCTAACCGTCCATGCATTTTGTCGTCTTGAGGCGACTGTTGTTGTGATTTGGTGCTATATAAATAAAACTGAATTCAATTCAATTAAGCCACATAATAGGCATCTTTTCCTTGCAAGGAAAGTAAAAAGTATATTAAATAGTTGACTCGAAGGGAAAATATGGCAGAAAAGGATGCACAGGACAACGGGGATCACTGCAGTCTTCACAAGACTGTCAAGAAAAGTCGATTCAATACCTTGGGTGAATTTCATAGGGAATGGACTGAGGCTGGTGTCAGCGCATCAAGAGCCACCACCCACAGATGTCATCATGAAAGGAGCTACAACTGTACACCAACTCATTACTAAGCTGGAGACAACATTAGAAGTATCTTACATTTTACGTGATGCATCACTCATCTTACTACTGCAATCGTGGCTCAAGAGTTGGCAGTTCGTCTTATAATCGGAAGGTTGCCGGTTTGATCCCCGGCTCGGACAGCCTCGGTCATTGTGTCCTTGGGCAAGACACTTCACCCGTTGCCACCTACTGGTGGTGGTCAGAGGGCCCGGTGGCGCCAGTGTCTGGCAGCCTTGCCTCTGTCAGTGCGCCCCAGGGCAGCTGTGGCTACAATGTAGCTTGCCATCACCAGTGTGTGAATGGGTGGATGACTGAATGCAGTGTAAAGCGCTATACAAATACAGGCCATTTACATGGGATACAATGTGCTGAAATGTTGCTCAGTTGTCCAAAGTCCTCTTTTCAAAAACAGTGAATTCAACATTTCATTTGGAAATCAAGTTCCTAGAGTCTGGGGGAAGAGTGGAGAGGCACATAATCTAAGGTGTTTGAAGTCTGGTATGAAGTTTATGCACTCAAGGATAATTTGGAGTGCTATGTTATCTGTTGGTGCAGGCAGTGGTTGGTTCACTGTGATTTATCAAGTTAAAAGTCAACAGATCCATCTACCAGGAGATTTCAGACCATCTCATGCTTCCATCTGTTGACAAACCTTATGGAGATGCCAATTTCTTTTTCCAGCAGGACTTAGCACCTGCCTGCAGAGCCAAAACTATTACCAAATGGTTTACTGATCTTGTTATTACTGTGACTGATTAGCAAGCCATTAGCAAGTGAGAAACACTCACCCAAAAATACACATGAAGGCTGTTATCAAAGAAATGTGGGCTTCAATAACACCTCAGCAGTGCCACAAGTTGATGCCAATCAGCTTATGAAAATCATGGTTTAGTTGTCTTGCTGCAAAAAAAGCTTCTGTTCAATAGAAGTCTTGAGCAAATGAAGCTTGGCTTCCTTCTCTGTGTCCCCAGTAAACAGTTTAATGATGACTTTATGGGCTAGTCACTAGTTTTAAGTCATACTGACTAGAATGTTGCAAACCAAAGTCCTTATTATAGTCAGACAGGAGGAAATGCTGATAATATACTTAGTAAGAGGTCCTTTGAATAACTGTTAGATCTGATCACATTTGTTATATCAGATACAAAAAACAGGACTTCACTACTCAACAGGTGCTATCTTGGTGGCTATGTGCATTTTTTTTTTATTTTTATAAACAGTCTGTGGTCTCTCCACAGATGTGGGATTATGTCTGGGTCACTTGAGGATAGTCAGGGAGCTGAAGAGGCTGCAGCCTGTTGACCCTGTACTACAGTCTCTGTAGTCTGTAGCGGATTGCCGACAAAGACCTCTTAGTATTTTGTTGCATTCATACGTTACCTCAGTTCTGAAGAGTTTCTTTGACACCTGTGACACCTGTGACACCACCATGTTTTAGAGATAATACACTGTAAGCCAGTTGAAGAACAGTGTGTGATGTTTGCTAGGAATGAGGAGTTCTGCTCCTAGTTTTAACTCCATTCTAATTTCAGTCCATCTCTACTATAAATTTCAAACCTTTGAAGTTAAAGCAACAAATATTTAACTTAAGAAATGATGAGAATTAACATGAGATTAACAGTTTAATAGTAGCTACACAGACACATTCATAGCCCATAAGATTAAGAAGAAACAGTTATGTACATCGTAAGGGTTTTGTTACATCATTAAACACACTTTCTTTGCAGACACTCTTTAATGTTACCTTACATAAACTCTTATTTTTAATCAAAACAGTTTAGATACAGTTCAAAAGTTTTCCTTTTTTTTAAAGCTTAAAAAGACAACTGATCATGTATTCAGAGTATTAACTTCCCTTTGAGAGCTTGTGATGAATAAAACGAGAAGACCGGTGAGGCACAAAACAACATGTTCAGGTCAGTATGTTCCCTTCCTTCCTTCCTCTTGGTGATCTGGACAACACTTACACAAGCTGAATCCATTTAAACACAACAGATCATGCGACATGAACATGAGCACATCACAAAGGAAGGGCACCGTGTATTGTTTTGACAGTCCCTTTCAAATAGATTAGTGGACTGAAAATGTCATGGCGATAATGATGGTCTTAATATCACAGGATTCAACATTGTGTCTGGTACAGCAACAGTTAGACTTGCTTTTTAACCCCTACTGCTGTGGCAGAAGATAGTCTGTTATTAAAAGCAATTACAGACTTATTATAACAATTATAAAAAAAACTGTTCAATAAAAACATTAAAATTATAACGAGTCTTTTCTGTAATACTTGCTGTCATAAATAGTAATTACACTTTTCTTACTACTTTTCCCTGTTATATTTGTCATTAGATATAATAAAGCCAAATGTTTTTAGAGATAAGCATCTTTCCACCCACTTTAGTCCATTTTGGGGTGTTTTTCTTGCATGTGTGGTGAAAAGTTTTATTGCCCATAATAAAGCAAAATATTCAACTTGACATTGGGAGTTTTAGCAAATTCATCAAATGATAACAGACAAGTAAAATCTGCCCTTGCTAAACCCAATATCACAGTGTTCAGTCCCTACATGTAATGGATCTTTGATTATGGTGCCATCACTCATTCCTTTTGTGTTTTGCTCAGACTGGAATAGATAAAGAGAACGTCTGTGGTGGTTTAATTGATTGCTGTCACCTCTTCTCTTGCCATGACCTGCCATGGGCTTTAAGTGAGACATTGCCATGGAAACAGAGCCCATCGGTTTGAGCTGTTCAGCCACATAAATATCTATAAGCTTTTTATTAAAATAAACTGCTGTCAGTGAAACGTAGCAGTGAAGACATGACACAGCCTCACAGGGTTGAAGTTTTAAAAATGCTTCTTTTGAAAAAATCTTATACCGTAGGAAAGCATGTTTATTTCCCTTTAAATGATTCTACATTTGTAAGGAAAATGCATTTGTAGGTTAAGAAGAGAAAATTGCCTTTTCTCTTCCAGTGCCTTTTAGTTTTAAGATTATAAAAGACAAACACAGCAAGGTAAAAAACAAAACAAAAAACTGCAGTCCTTCTCATGGCCAACAGGGGGCAACTCCTCTGGTAGAAAAGAAGCCAGACTGAATGGAAGTCTATGAAAAAATTACCCTACTTGTCACTTTACATATGATCTCAGTAAATATTTTTCTGATAGGTTTATGGGCTTAATTGCTCATTGTAATTCTTTGCCTCTATAACATCAGGCTGAATTGATAAATTATGGTCCCATTTAGTGTAAATCTGCTGATAAAGCTGGGTACAATCAGCAGCTTCACTGTCAGGTAAGCATGCTGTCTTAAGTTTTCATTCACATATTGTACACTTTCTCTTGTGACATCTAGTTAAAAAAAGTCAACAAAATTGAATTCAGTGCGACAAATTAGTAAAGTTATGTCATGGTGGCAGTTTCTGTCACTTTGCATTACATTAAGCACCACCTAATGTTCGTGGAGTTGTTATAGCCATGTGGCTGAAAGTCCTGTGATGTAAGTATTATTTGACACAACCACAACACAACAATGGAAGGCGATAAGGCAATGGTATACCTGCTGCTAGGTCTATGGCTTTTTGTCAGACTCAGGGACCATTGTGTTGGTTTTTGTGTAGCCACTTCCCTCATTGTTAGGTTTTCATTTCTCTAAAGGAGTCAGTCTCATGACTTGTGGGATGATGCCATTGACTGGCCAATCGGTGGCATGCAGTCTGTTGATGTCACATTTTCAGATCGACACAGCTCACCGAGCAGGTACTAAAAAGTACCTGGTATCAGATGCTACCACCTGATGAAAAAGCCTGAAAACTGACTCACAGCAAGTTGAGCTGAGCTGAGGCACTAGTGGAAAGGGCTTTATGAGGAACTTCCACGTTAGCTTCACTTTTCTAACCTGGTGCATCTTTTGTATATGGTCTATTCTTGTGAGTCAAAGGACTTCCACATTTGCTCATCCATATCTTGCTTGCTTACATTTTATTCCCAAGTCAAATGTTTTGATGTTAAATGTGAACATTACATATTGAGGTAGATATAGTTTGACAGTAGATGTGTCTCATAGGCAATCTTGGACTTGGAATGAGATTAGGGCTGCATTTAGCCTTGAAAAAACTAAGTAAAAAGTTGATTTAAATGGAAACCGTGGCGCATTCAACTCTCTCTTATGTCATACCTCTGGCACCTGACCCCTGTGTGCACTGCTCCCATTTATTTATAACCCTGAGCTGACTGAGCAATAAAAAATATACCTCAAAGCTGCTGGCAAATTTCAGGTAAACATATTATTCATTCTGGAAACTTAGCAAAATGCAACGGTTGTTCTCAGATTCCACAATTGCTTTTTCAAGCAATTTTTTTTTTCAGAAACTAGGACTGCTGTGGAGAACAAGTGCATTAAAGTCAGGTTCGGTGTCTAGGGGAGATGTGATTGACACTGAGACACTGAGAAGGGATCTGTATTTGGATTTGTTAAATTTCAGTGATGTTCTTTTCACATGTCCAGGTAGATCCAAAGAGAACCAATATCTTCTCCTTATGCATGGAAGGTTCTCCTCTTTGAAAGAAGAATAAAAATTTATGTTGCCACTTGAATAGGTTTCATTTAAAAAAAATCATTTTAAAGAAGTTTCCCCTGCCCTATCAGACACTTTTAAAACAACTAGTATTGTTATAAAATCAATTGGTAATGCTGAAGCTGTGGAAATCACTGGTTTATGGTATTGACTAGATTTATTTATTTGTTTGCTTTGCACATTTCTGTTAAATGAGGATTAAAATATAGGGTTAAGCATATGCAAACTGTGATGCAGCAAATGCTGCTGGCAGCTCTTCACACCTTAAAGTCAGATTTAAAGTGAGCTCAGGGACTTTTTTCCACTTTCAGCCTTCAGATTGATCCAATTATTGATCATGCTGTACAGAAGCCAAAACATTAATAGAGAGACAAAGATGACCTTTCAGAAGCAGCTTTTGGTTTTAAGAATTAAATCAAGGCTTATGTTTTAATGGTCACTGGGGCATATAATCTGCACTCATACAACCACCGGTCAAATAAAAAAAGAAAAAACAGACAAAATAATTTTTCTGTGAACAGCGCATCTCAAAATCTTCAGATGTTTGTCACGCATAATGTTTCTAAGCCCCAGCTGTCTTTCCCCGATGATCTCATGAACCATTTTTATGAGATGGGGCTGACTGGAGGGTATCACACCACAACTCTCATCCAAACTATAGTTTTTTTGTCTGCCTTGTCATCATTCATCACAGTTATGCGTCCTAACCACTTGAGTGGGCTGTTGGCTTATGAGGTCAGACCCCCCATCTCACACGTCTCTGATTGGTGTGTATGGATAAGGGCGGAGCATCTGGAGCAGAAGAGCCGGACGGCTGAACCTGCGGACTTTGTAAACTTGCAGCAGTATACCTGTGGAAGACAAACGCACATTAACGCACTAACACACGAAGCTCTTTCAGTCCCGCGGTGATTTTTAAACCCTCGGAGAAACACGGCATCACTCCATGTAAGTTTGTCTTTTTTTCATTTTTAATAGCACGCTGTCTGTTTTGTTTATTGAATGAATTTATTAAGAACGATTTTAAAATGATGATTTTTACGCATTGCTTTTTGTTTTTTGTTTTTTTGTTTTTTTAAACAAGTCTGTAAAATAACATGCCTCCAGTGAAGGTTACCAGTTTAATACAAAGCACAGCACTGTACAGCTGCAAAATGTCCAGTGGATGTGGTGTTAATCTCGTTTTGGGGCTCCAGATCCTCCGGATAAACAGTGCACGGTGTCTTCTAATCAGTACCTCTTATTTTAAAAACAGAGAACTCTGATAAGATGTGCGCAGTAAAGATTTTTAGGTCTATTTGGATATAAGGACGCCGGATTCGTCGATTTACTAACTACAAATAGGATTATACTGAAACTGTTTTTATATAGTGGTAATAACTCACAATGCAGTTGTGCGTGTAATATTTCCTGTTTTATTACAGCTATAAAACACATGCACATTAGAATATAACATATTGCTTATTTTGCTACTGACGCAAAGCAGACATGATGCTGGTGAGGCCTTTCATTCATTTCATTCATTTATTTATTCATTTTCAGGCACAACAAATACCTATATTGAACATAAAATACACAAAACAAAAAACAAAACTTGCCTGAAAAAGGAGTGGGACGAAGAAAACTTATTAAATCCCACCCCTATACTCACTCATCAACAAAAAAAAAACAATAAACTTCCCGCAGCTACGCCCATCATTGCATACAGACCCATCAACAGCCCCGGGCAGATACAAGCATCTAAGCGGCAGCTCGCAACCAACAATTAGAGCCTTCATAACTGAATACAGAATATATAAATTATAAATTGCATTACCACAGGTAACAGGCAGTAATAACTACAAGTAACAGACACACATACATATACATACATATATATCTACACACACAAGTACATATATGTACATACATACGCACACTTTATTTTTTATTTTTTATTTTGGAATCCATACCAGCAATGGTAAGAGGACAGACATTACAGAGCACACTAAAACCCATCATTGAGTATACTGTGACCAGACCAACTGTTTGTAGAGAAATTTAAATCTATGAATATTTTTGCATTGTTTCAATTGTAAACTCAGACTGTTCCAGATTTTCACACCACATACAGACACACAAAAGCCTTTACGGGTTGTTCGAGTTCTGGGTAATTTGAATTCTCCAAAGCCTCTCACATTATAAACCTTTTCTCGAATTTCAAATCTAGTTTGTAAATTTGCCGGTAAAAGTTTAGTAAAAGCTTTATACAAAATTATGGATGTATTGTAATTAACCAGATCCTGGAATTTAAGTAACTTTGCCTGAAGAAAGAATTTGTGAGTATGATCTAGATAACCAGCCTTGTGAATAATACGCAGTGCTCGTTTCTGTACTGTGACTAATGGATTAGTTGTATTTTTATATGTATTTCCCCACACTTCCACACAATATGTAAGATATGGAAGAACCAGGGTACAGTACAGAGTACGAAGTGCATCTTTATCAAGGAATTGTTTCACTTTGTTCAAAACTGCGAGGCTTCTGGAAATTTTGGTTTTTATGTGTCTGACGTGGGGTTTCCATGAAATTTTGTTATCAATTATAACTCCCAAAAATTTGTTTTCACTCACATTATCAATTGGTACACCTTCAATGATAATTGGTAATTCTATATTATATTTTAAATTACCAAAAAACATTGCTTTAGTTTTATTTATATTTAATGATAATTTATTTATGTCCATCCATTTTTTTATTAATTTTAGCTCCCTGTTTACAGTCATTACAAGATCAGTATAATCATCGCTACTGAAAAATATGTTGGTGTCATCTGCGAACAGTATGAGTTTAAGTACTTGAGAAACATCAAAAATATCATTTATGTATACATTGAAAAGTTTTGGTCCCAACACTGACCCTTGGGGAACACCACATGTAATACCAAGTTTCTCTGAATGGTAATGCCCTATGCTAACATATTGTTCCCGACCTGTTAGGTAACTTTTTAACCAGTTACCAGCTTTCCCTCGAATACCATATCTTTCCAATTTATCCAGTAAAATTGAGTGATTGATTGTGTCGAAGGCCTTTTTGAGGTCAACAAAAATACCAACTGCATATTTATTTTTATCCAGTGTATCAGTAATTTCTTCTACTGCCTCAATTATCGCCATTGAAGTGGTTCTTTGCGTTCTGAAACCATACTGACCAACATTTATTATTTGATGTTTTTCAAGGAATTTTTCTAATCTTGAATTAAAAAGTTTTTCTAGAATTTTTGAGAATTGAGGCAGTAGAGAAATAGGCCTATAATTGGTAAAACTGTGTTTGTCATTACTTTTATATAGTGGTATTACTTTCGCAATTTTCATTTTTTTTGGAAAACAACCGGACTGAAATGATAAATTACAGATATATGTTAAGGGACTAGCAATATTCAGAATAACCTGTTTAACTACAGACATATTTATGTCATGATAATCCATTGAAGACTTACTTTTACATTTTAATGTGATATTTATTACTTCTTGCTCATTTGTAGCTGAGAGGAACAGTGAAAAGGGATTTGATTTTATATCAAATCCCTTTATATTTATATTCACGCTGTTGTGAAGTTTCCTTATATTTTATGGTCTTGGCTGAACTCTTAGATTTAAACGTTTCATGGTGTTATGCAGGTAGCATCACTGTAATGTTTCATATTTGGTAATGGGGCTCACAAAACACCATTTAATGATATGGTCACCATGATGTTTTTCTTTTTCTTTTTAAATGCTCCTGATTTAATATTTAATAATATACAGTAATCTTCATTTTTGCTTTGTTTTTTTCAAATCTGTCTTCGGTTTTTAAAGAAATTCTCGGTAAGCTTTTGGTGAATATTAGACTTCTTGTGTGCACTCTGGGAAAACATGAAAGCACATTTGTAGAAAAGTTTCAGCTATTGCATTAGCTGACTTTGGTCCTCACAGTCTGTTAGCTCCATCTTTCCAGCTCAGTGCACATTGGGCGTCCATACATGCATATTACTTCCTCTTGATGTGCTGCCATTATTTATGGGCTGTTTGTGTTTGTCTTGTAACACACTTATTCTGGTCCCTTGGTGATTCCTTTTTATTGCTTTTCTCCTATTTCCAGTGTTGACCTTCATGGTGGATGAGCACAATGTTCCTTCCCCTGAGCTTCAGAAAATGAACGCCTCTCTGTGTGACCCTGCAGCCGTTATGTATCGACTGGTGGCAGACCACCAACTTGATACCAGCTGCAACTGCTCCTCTGCCCTTTCAAACTGGACAGCGAGGGGCGTGGCCCCTCAGCTGCCCACATTCAGTACAGCGGCGAAAGCGAGAGTGATCATCACCTTCATCCTCTGTGGCATATCTGCCTTTTGTAACCTGGCAGTGCTGTGGGCGGCTCGCATAGATGGGAAACGAAAATCCCACGTGAGGGTGCTGATTGTCAACCTGACGATGGCGGATCTGCTCGTGACCTTCATCGTGATGCCCGTAGATGCGGTGTGGAACATCACAGTTCAGTGGCTTGCCGGAGACTTTGCCTGCAGGCTGCTGATGTTTCTTAAGTTGCAGGCGATGTACTCCTGCGCCTTTGTCACAGTTGTAATCAGTCTGGATAGGCAGTCAGCCATCCTCAACCCTCTGGCCATCAATAAGGCCAGAAAGAGGAACAGAATCATGCTCACGGTGGCTTGGGTTATGAGCGTTGTGCTGTCTGTCCCTCAGGTAAGGACAGGCATTCCCGCTGATAGCAGAGGCAATGATCAGGACTAATTTGAATTCAATCAGGCCATTAAACTGCTTCTCATCCTCTCTAAAGGAGGTTTAACTCCACTCCCTGCTTTAGTACAATCTTTCATAAATAATAATTTTCAGAACAAAAAGTATAGAGGCAGTCCTGAATAAAGAGCTCCCTGTGACACATTCATCCCAGTGTGGAAAACTGCTGAAAGAAGCACCAAAGTCAACAGTAAGGGGTCATTTACTCAAAGGATAATGTAGCTTTATTTATTTTTAAGAAAATGAACAAATCCCACAATCTATCCTGGTTACGGGTATTGTATCACAGACCCAGCATGAAGCTGCTGTGTTCTTGTTGTCCAAGAACACATAACAGAGGGATACTGTTGCATTTGGAGTGCAGGTAGCATTTTTCTTTGTGTTTGTGAGAACATCAGCTGAATGAGCCTGTTATAGTTTTTTCATTTCATTCTGTTCATGAGTCACAAACTGACTTTAGAAAAAAAGAAGGTATTGATTGCAATCTGTCCTTTTTGTCAGTGTTTCTTAGCACCTGTTAAAATCATCGAGTAGGTGTGTGGTGTTTGAACCTGCAGGTGTGCGCTGCGTAATTTGAAACGAAATCAAATTAAACTGTTTGTGTTCATAGAAGGAGGACACACTGGTTAGCACTGCCAGCTGAGTAATTTCTGTGTTGTTCTCCCTGTGCCTGCATGGGGTTCCTTCAGTTTCCATCCACAGTTCAAAGACAGGCATGTTAAATTAACTGGTGATGAAGCCTAAGGATAAGAGATTTAAATAGATCACCCTTCTCTAAGAGAAGAAGAAGTTTTTTGGATTAGGCTCAAATAAATTAAAGGTCTAAGAGGTGTAATTATACAAAACTGCTTTTTAAAATAAATAATAAACCTTTGTTATACTCCGTCCAGTTCACGCTCAGAGTCAGCACTTGCATATGCACTATAGAATTATGGCTAGTTAAGGACAGCAGGGTTAAAACCAGTTAACTATAGCTTCATTTCACAGGTTTGCATGGCTTATTCCAACTTTTGTAACACCTTCTAAAGGTTCATGAGCTCCCTGAAAACAGGATGGAGATAAAACTTTGTCAGGCACAAGCAGTAAAAGATGTTATTTAGCGCTCTGAGAGACAGTAGCTTGGTAAAATGTATTATCCTCATATGATCAAAATCCAACTTAGTAGTAGTTTTCTCTTTGCAAATAACTGTAAACAATTTTTAAAAGTCAATGTGACATTAGCTCAGCAGGGTTAATTCATTCTCACTTATTTCCAGTGGTATGTTGCCAGTATAATTTTCACTAATTTCTGCTACAGAAACAATACAAAATGATGAACTATCAGCAGGACTTAAAGCCACACAAGGCTGATTTTGAACCGGGGTAATCTGACCCTTGAAGTTTCTTCCTGAAACATCCATTCCCAGCTGTTTGATGTGTAAAAGCAGCTGTGAACAAAGATATCAGTAAACCTGTGAAAGTTGCTCGTGTGTTACTTCATATGACTAAAAATCATTTTCTAAATGTCACATTTTCCCTCCTCAGATGTTCCTTTTTCACAATGTGACCATCATCCATCCCGAGGACTTTACTCAGTGCACAACACGGGGGAGCTTTGTCACCCACTGGCATGAAACAGCCTACAACATGTTCACGTTTTGCTGCCTGTTCCTGCTGCCGCTGGTCATCATGATTACCTGTTACACCAGGATCTTCTGTGAGATCTCCAGACGACTGAAAAAAGACAACTGTAAGTTTCAGTTTAGTTTAGATGTAAAGAAGAAATAATCTATTAAATATTAAATGAGCGGCAGTCTGACCAGCCATAAATGCCATAAGTGTCTCCAGGTGAAGAATCCTCATACTGGTGATCCCCCTACATATTTGAGAACTACCAGCTGAACTCCCAAAAGAACGAAACAATACAGGAGGGCCATAGAAAGACTAGAAAGGGGGAGGAGCAGACAGGGAAAGAGTAAGAGAACTAAACAAATAACAAGATCGCTGTAGAAGCTAAAGCTGAATGAAAAAACAAGAATTCAATGACTAAATCATTCATGAGTAAAGTTGGCAAAGGCCTTTGACTATCCCTTCAGTATCACAGTACTCTCAAAGTGAACATCTGCTTACCTCGAGCCAATAATTAATCAGAAATAATAACTTAAAAAACAATAAAGGTTTGTGTTCATAGCATTTTCAATGTGCACTATATTTTGTTTCTGTCCTCTGTTCTGGTTCCAGTACCTTCCAGTGAAATGCACCTGCGGTGTTCAAAGAATAACATCCCGAGAGCCCGGATGAGAACTCTGAAAATGAGTATTGTGATTGTTCTGTCTTTCATCATCTGCTGGACTCCATACTACCTGCTGGGCCTGTGGTACTGGTTCTTCCCTGATGACCTGGAGGGGAAGGTTTCCCACTCCTTAACTCACATCCTGTTCATCTTTGGGCTTGTCAACGCCTGCCTGGACCCACTCATCTACGGCCTATTCACCATCCACTTCAGAAAGGGGCTCCGAAGGTTTTATACCGGCACCACCACATCGGCTGATCTGGAAAACAACACGGTTATAACTGGGTCTTTTAGTTGTGCTGCCAACTCTTTGTCACTGAAACGGGAGGTGAGCCCTGCCAGCCCTGAGAGGCTTCTGCTGTGCAAAGCAGAGTGGACCCCACCGAGGAGCAGCTTTCTAACAGCTGACAACGACACAGACAGAAAAACTCACCAGTCCAGTGCTGAGAGCATGTTATGAGAAGAATATAGTATTGGTTTTACTGTTTTATTTCCTCATATTTATTCAGTGTAATGCTCTCATATGTAGGGTACTCTCATTCTCTTACACTCTTAATTAGATACACCCGTTTAACTGCTCAAAAACACAAATATTTAATCAGCCAATCACATTGCAGCATTTATGGACGTAGACATGATCAAGACGAACAGCTAAAGTTTTTCAACTGACCATCACAATGAAGATGACAGGTGACTTTGAACTTTGAATTTGAACATGGCACGGTTGCTGGTGCTAGTTAGAGTGTTTAAGAAACAGTTGGCTTTGAATCTCATCATAGATGTGTAGCTGACAAATGTGCAGCAACTGTGTGATGGTATGGACCAAAATCTCTGAGGAATGTTTCCAGCACCTTCTCGTATCTGTGGCAACTTTGAAAGGAAGTGAGGGTACAATCCAGTACTAGTCAGGTACCAATCGGAATACATAAAGTGGCCAATGAGAGTATGTATAAAATACAAAGGCCAAAAATGGCCGAATGCTGGAATATTGATAATTTTGTATGATATTGGGAAAATCTTCAGAAAATAAACAGTGATCATATTACAGGATTAAAATCAATGCTTTGTAAGATCTCAATGAATAAAATCCAGCTGTGTCAGAGTGAAGTTTGTTTTGATTTTTTTTTTTTAAAACAAGCCAGGCTTTTAGTTGGGTATGCAACTATTAAACAGTCCAATAGCAATTGCAGACAGTATTTGATGCCCAAATAAGAGTAAAGAGACTGTCTGAAATTTGGTCCTACAATATAAGCAATTTAAAAAAATCACTTTGATCATTGCAGTTCAGTATTTATGGTCCAGTTTGTGCCAGTGCATTGCCAAATATTAGCCACCATAATATTTTGTATTTTTTAAGATTTTTTTTTAGATAAGTTATGCTACCTGGTGTTTTTAAACACAAAATAGAACTTTTAAAAATGCATTTAAAAAACTAACAACTTTATATATTTCTCAAAAACTATCTTTCTACCAGTCTTTAAACATATCATCTGCAAATCTCATTTCAACAATAATATTTGCACTTCCTGCAGGAGTCCTGAGAACTGTTAAGGTCATGGAAATAAAGGACTGTTTGTATTTTCTGTAAATTACAATTTGTGACCATCTGACATTAAATGTATTCAGCTGGTGGAGTGACTTTTGCTGCTGGAAATGTCTTAAGTAAAAGAATTTGTGTTGGACAGCAATTATATGGGATTTGTGTGCAGATGTCATGCAAACCCATGTCTGTCTCTGTCCCCAGAGGGGAGAGCTGCCTATAATCAGCGATGAATCATAACCGCAGATGGAAAAGGCCATTTGTGCCCTGGAAATGTGACAAAATTAAAATCCTCTTTGGCTCTCATTAAAAGAGAGCTCAAGTTCGGAGCAAAGAAACTGAGAAGTGCAGGTTCGTGCAGCTGGAGATGACTGTTGGACGCTCATTTGGGAGCGATTCTGAAAACATTTCTTAAAAAGCAGCATCTATTATTTACAAAAAAAATGTAAATGATACAAATAAATTCAGAAATTCATCTCTTACAAAATAGTAGCTACATACCAGCATTTTATGAGGACTATATATGAACATGAAAGACTTTGGAGGTTGCATTTAATTTCAAACTGAGATAAGAAATTGAATCTTCTTTCTAAATGATGCCTGTATCATTCATCTGCTGGTGTGTGCCAACTGGATCAGGAAAATCTGGAACTGAATTGTAACCTTAGTCAAAATACTGGAATTTATTGTTGGCCTCAGCTTGTGATTAATACCATTATATATTAAGCAGTCAGTTATTTTATTAATCAACCAATTAGTACATATTCATATGTAAAATATTAGCAAGAAGATTAGAAATCAAAAACTTGTCAGAACAATCATGATAAAAATAAACAGACAATCTTCAAATTTGAAAAGGTTTTTGCATGACTTTGAAAAAAAAAAAAGCAACATGTCGATGGAGGAAAATTACACATTGTAGGTTTTTACAAGCGTCATATTACAAGACATTTAATGCTGAGATATAAAAGGCTCCTTAACCTCCCAGCTCTCCGTTACAAGACACACTCAGGTAATGGTGCTGTGAATTCAGACTGGTCCAGAGCGGTCATCCTGTGTTTTGCCTCCAACACAATCTAAACTTTTTTTTGACATGTTCAAGAAGCCGAAGCCCGCAAGTGAGAACAAATCCGAAGAAGACCATCTGTGCTACGTGTGATAAAAGGGCAACTTTGGATGGATCTGATTCTCCTGAAAGTGCTCAGAGTACATGAGTAAAAACAGAACTGTTATGAATCCTTTGTTTTTAAATTAATTTAACAACTTTTAATTCAGGTTTCATTTGGCTTTAAGGGCAGAAAATAAACCAACAAGGGAAAACTATCACTGGCTGTTTTGTTTGTGTGTTAGCACTTTCAGTTAATCCCAAGGAAGAATAAAGGTAAAAGACATCAGTTAATCTGAGTGGGAAAAACTCAAATCATCAAAAATAACAGACCAAAAAAAGCAACCCTGTGAAGTCTTTGCTTCATAGCAGGAGCTTTATTTCATGTCAGAAGCTTTTTTTCCACAAACAGATTCTTTTCTTGGTGCACATCTAATACTGACACGAAAACCTGCCAAGCTCTCTGAATGGAACACCTGAGCTATTGTTGCCTTCTGAGTCATGACATGAGGGCTTCTGGTCTCAAGTCTTTTTAAAGCCTCTTAGAAATTCAAATTAGAAATTCAAATGAGGCTTTCAGTCAGATATTAAAAACGGTATCAGTATCTTGTTCACTTTCATGGAGAGATGTGGCAGTGTGCTTTCATAAGATGAAAGGAAATGAAAGAGAATTACACAACTGTGTACAATCCTGTTTAAAAAAAAAAAAAGAATTGAATGAATGGGAAGTCTTTTAAAGACCCCCCCCCCCAGTTAAATGTTACTCTCCATGCTCATTTTCAGTTTGATGCCAGTAAAATGTTGAAAAAAAGGCAACAACCGAGTGGAAAAGAACAGAAAAAACCTGCTGGTAAATCTCACACTTCATTAGCTTAAATAGTAACATGACTGGATGCAAAAATATTTCCCCACAAAGGCATGCTTTCTCATTGTACTCACTGCAAATATATATATATTTTTTTAATGAGTGTAAACCTGTCAAAAATATGGCTTTCATGAATTATGGTCAAGTATATAAACAGGACCCCACATTATAATTCAATGATTCAGCTGTTCCTAATATCATCTCAGATCTTACCTGTCATCTAATTTTTTTTTTTACCTCAGTGCTCATTAAATTCAGTTTTCAGTTTTCAGTTTTATTTGTCATATGCAAGTTAGCACAGGGTCAACATTGCAATGAAATGTGTTTGGCGAGCAGCAGTCACTCAGCAGCGTGGTACAGTAGGAGAAAATATAATAAAATATAATAAAAAATAGAAAAATAGTAAGGAGCAAAATATTAGAGAGACATGGTAAAAGAGAAAAGATGACTAAATATATATGTATCTATAAATATAAATATATGTACAGGGATTAAATAAGAAAATCTTGAAAAGAAATATGACGGGAGGACAGATGGGATATTGCACAGGAATGAGCAGCAGAAAATTACAGTATTGCACTTTTAAATATAAATATCAATAACAGTTAATAAAAGTTCAGACATCACCTGATCATGTTCCCGTCTAGAAAAATGTTTTTGTTTGCCAAAAAACATAGCTGAGTATAGACAATAAATACTCTTATACGGAGCCCCGCAGGGGACATGGGAGGAAAAAAAGTTAAGATGGACTTTTGCGAGATCTCGCAAAACAAACTTGGGATCTCGCAAAAGTTTTAGCCGCATTCTTCGGAGGCCGCCAGCTCGAAGCCGACCGGGAGGTCGAGGCACGATGTGCCGGGAAAGCGGTGTTCCTCCCGGCTGTAGTAGGTCTCGACCTCCCGTTAGCTTCGAGATGGTGGGTGTCAGATCTCCGAAAACATCGGAGCACTTTTGCAAATATGTGATGTCTTGTAAACTGAGCAGGTATCTAACGTTTACACAACTACATTCACGCCTCAAAATATCTTAAAAGTGTGTTTTGTGACCCAGAAAGAGTAATATTACAACTAAGTAGCTGCCGCCATTGTTGGAATTCAACTTTTGCGAGATCCCGAGTTTGTTTTGCGAGATCTCGCAAAAGTTTTGTGAGATCCCGAGTTAGTGTTGCGAGATCTCGCAAAAGTCCGTCTTAATTTTTTTTCTCCCATGTCCCCTGTGGGGCTCCGTACTCTTAAGCTACACTGTGTAATTGTTTTGGTTAATTTTGTTGCATAACATTTTTTTCCCCTGTCTTTTGAAAACATGACTTATGACACATTCAAGGCCCCAAAAGGCAACAAAATGTCAACATGCTGCGACTGAGCTCAGCTCAGCTTGCATACAGTCATCCTTTAAATAAATGTCCCTCGAGCTCAGCAGATATAAAAGCAAGGACCATTTTTCTACAAGTCACATTTAATACCTGAAATCTTATCTTACTTGAAATAAAATAAAAACCTGAGATTCATGGTTTGAGTCACTTTTGGATCTATGAGTTCTCCCAGGTAAAGTTTTGCTGTGAGAGGACCATGTTTCAGCAACTTTGTATCCGAAATCATGAACATTTACTGCAAATAACACAGGCATGAAACCTTATTTCCCTCTATGAACATCATGCTCATTTTGGAGACTACACATTAGTTGTTAGTCTCCAAAATGAGCATGGTGTTCATAAACCTATCAGGATAAAATTTAATGAGGTCATAGACAATGTTCCCTCTAAGCTGCGCACGTGCGCAATTGAGTACTGCTGGCACGCTCTCTGCGCACAGAAAATCTGTGTTGTGCACAAAAAAAATCTAACCTGAATTGAAATTAAAATTAATACTTTAACAATTCTGTTTTGCAGTGTTAGTCAGTGACTGGCTGCTCCCATATGGGATTAGAACGATGCCACCTTATCCCATAGTCCAGCCAATGATGCGATTTACATTCGTATATACGCAGCTAATCAGCGTGGTTGACAGGCTATGACAGCGTCCTTATGTGCCGACACCGGTGTTTTAGCTAGGAAAGCTGCGTGGCTGATGTGGAGTGAAGCCACGTTAATGACAACGTGTACAAGCTGTGAGCAGGACAGACGGAACAATTGACGGAAAAAGTATGGACTTGATTTTCTTCCTGAATACTGTCGTTGTTTATATTTACTGCAGGAATAAACGGTAAAAACGGCGTTTTATAAGAAAAAAGGCTCGAAAGCACTCTCCGCATGTGAGCAAAAACTCCACCCCCCTCTCCCTTTCCTATTCGTCCAAAAAAATGATATGGCAACGTGGCATCTAGTTGCTAAGAAACGGGGAGAAGTTTTAGGAGTGACGGCGGTGCTTTGAGATGTGAGAGATTTGAGACGTTTAGCGCAAATCTTGTGTAGTTAGTGTGTAGTGTAGTTTTTGTTGTGTGTGTCAGAACAATGAGGCGACTGCTGAATGTTACAGAAGTTACAGGAGTGATACATCTCCTGTTGTAAGGCTTGCAGGTATCAGGCTTGTGATGTTCTCCTTTATCTCATAGTGGACAGAAATTATTTTTTGGAGTGGCAGAAATAATTTGTGTGGCATCAGATTTGATGCAGAACAGCTGATTGTTCTAAAAATTTGAAATGTTTATTTAAAAAACCGCCTTGGCTGCATTAAAAAAATAGCTGCAAATTTTTTTTTTTAAAGAATTAACTATATAATTAATTGCCCAGCATTGGTCATTATATACTATATTTTGCAGACAGAGAGTTACAGGACTCTCTCCCAGACCACAGACTCATAATACAAGTCAGCGCTTTTTAAAAAAGAAAGAAAGTTGTGCTTTCAAAATTGGAGTTCAAGTTATTTTTACTTCCAATAGTGTTAACATACTACACAGGTCAATGACTAGATTTTTTTTTACATTTTCATTGTAAGTGGGCTAAAGCAGTTAATTAAAAGTAGTCTAACATAAATGTAAATGCTGTAATTTGATTATTTTAATAAACCATGTAACTTGGATGGATTAGATGCCGGCGTGACCACAGTGCACACGTCTGATGTCACTCACAGTGGTCCAAGGGATCGCTCAGGGAGTTTGTGTGTTCGCTCAGACACGTGAAAAATTAGAGGGAACATTGGTCATAGACCAAAAGAACAAAAGTTCAGTTTCCTGCAGGTACTTACAAAAGCAACTAAAGGAGTCGCCCCCTGCTGGCAATTAGAAAAATACAGGTTTAAATGAGTTCCCCTTTGGCTTCACATTTCAAATCTGGAAGCTACTCATCTTTTACATGCAGTCTTTGTGTGTGCCCATACACCAGGAAACAGATTCTCAAAATTATTGATGTTTTAATAAAACAATTTCAGTTTACAATTCAAATGCATCAAAAACATTTAAATAACAGAAAACAAGGACAATATCTTAAGACAATTTCAGCAGTTCTATATTTATATTTGCTAAGTTTATCAATTAAAGAAATAATATTTAATAGGATCCTCCACTTTGTGTCTGGGTGAGTAGTGCTTTACAGATGGTGGGAATCACTTTATTAGTATCTTTATCATTTGCTGCAATTCTTCATTGGATTTTCCTGCAGCTGCTCCCATGTCTGTGTCAGAGTTTTGTTCCTTTCCTCCACAGACTGTGCTCTTCACATGAAAATGCAGGAAAAACACAATGCTGCTTTATCATTCTCATACACTTACTTTACTCATACAAGTCATTTGTGGAGTTCAAGAGCAGTCTGCATACAGTACAAAAACAATGCTAACCTTTTCTGAAGGTAGAGATTGCAGGTTTCCTTTAAGGTGTTGTAGCTCAGAGTTTGCTGCTGTCGTGTGGACTCAGGATATGAAACAACGTGCTGCTTAAAGATGTCAGACTCTGCAAAACGGAAGACGAAAAGCTGGCTCTGGCTCCTTTCTTCAGATGTAACACTGCAGCTGGTGTCCTGGTCACCTGGATGAGAAATAAAAAAAAACTTTATTTACAGTATTGTTCTAACATTAATCCAGGAACATGCTGTTATCATAAAATGGTGTTTGGGTTTACCTCGTATGAACAGACTCTGCTGTTTGGAGTTCAGCGCATAAATTGGACTGTGGGGAGTCGTAATGAGATGAGTTGTGGGAGGAGTCAGGAAGCACACAGTGGTGTTGTTGATGACATCTTGGATGGACATTTTTCCACTCCTTTGCATTACAAGTGACTCACAGAGGCAGGAGAAATGAGACAGTAAGATAAGAACTTAAAGTCATTAAAGGGAACCTATTGTGTTGATTTCCTAGTGCTTACTTCTAATTTTGAACCCTACTCCAGTAGCTCTGCATGACTTGCAGTTCAAAATAACCCATTTATCTTATACTAGGTCCACTGAACCTTTACATCATAAAGGTCCAATGGTGCATTTAGTCAGGGGCGTAATTTCCAGGGGGGTTATGACCCCCCTAATAATCAGACCCAGCCAATATAACCCTCCCAATAAAATTATGAATGATCTTGCATAAATAGGCTGTTGATTTTCTTTACTCATTTCAGTTATTACCAGCAAAATAGTTGCATGTTTAATCATCTGGGAATTTACCCAGATTTATTTATTTATTTAGACAGAGATCTTGACACCCCCCAATGTTCAGCACAAAATTATGCCCATGCATTTAGTGCAGTCTCAAGCCTGAGCTTTTGTCTCACAAGGGTTATTTGCCCATACACTGACCTCATTATAAGTATTATGGCAATCCATTGTATATTTTTATCAACAGCTTGAGTATTCCTACCAATCCCTGCAGGAACAGTACTGACGCAGTGACAGTTGGGAGGTCCTTGCTGTCCTTTGGCCTGAACAGACACATAAAGTGATGTGTAAACATTTAATCTAATACAATGCCACGCTACCACGCATGTAAAACTCAGACAACCTTTCAGAGAGCTGCTTTGTGCTGGGTTTTGTCCCCCGTCCAGTTGTGACGGTTTGAATTGCTCCACTTTTACACAATATCAAAAGATGGACTTTTTCAGCAGTAAAAATCTGGAAGTCATCATCAGTCACAGGGCAGCAATCCACAAACTGTACCCTGAATAAGGCGCTGTTTGCTTCTGGCATTAAAACGAGAGACAATGGAGCCCCTGGAAATAAAAACAAAGAGGAATAAACAGGCTAAAATTAGTTTAGAATAGAAATAAATAAAAAGCTTTAAGACTTTTAGCCTCATAGATATTACATCAGAGACTGTGTATTTGTCTGCTATCTGACTCCTGCTAATTAGTGTTTTCAGTCATGTTTTTGTTGGAGAATAAATATATCTGTCAGCTTACTGAGAACATGATTATTAGCTGAACTGTGTTGTCATGTGCACAGCTGGATGCGTGTTTAACTGTGGAAGCACTTAATAATACTGACACTGTTGTGTCAGTATTTTTAAGTGTCAGTAAGGGAGACAAAAGGATGTCTGCCTTTTCTGTCCATGTGTTTGCAGAGACACAGAATAGAAGAAAATGGATATTCTGTGAGGAAACCAATCATTGCTTTTCATCTAACTTCCTGAGAACATCTGATTTTTTTGTATAAGAACTTTAGAATATATTAAAAAAAAGCCCTGCCAATTTACAGGCCCCTTTAAATAAACATGCGTGGGTAAAACTTTGGTGGCTTTTGATTTATTTATTTATTTTTTAGTAGTTTTGAGTCCTCATATCTAACTAAAGTACAAGACGATTTTAAACTCATTCCTGAGTGTCATGAGCTAGAGACAAAATCTTTTTTTTCTTCAGCATATTACCGGTACTCATATTCTCATTCATTTTACTTTAAACATCAAGATCATGGGATATACCATAGTTTCAACAACGGCAGCAATTTAATATTGAGGTAGAGAAACAGGAAAAAGAATTGGTACCCTGATAATTTACTGGAGAAATCTTCCAAAATTGCATTTGAGTAAACTTTCAGCGGTCATATCACCACTTGGGATAAGTTGCTTGTCAAAGGAACTCATATGAGAAGTTTTGATACAGGGCTCACCTTTAGCATTCATTCCTTCTGGGGGGTCAAAGTGATTTCCTATTCTAGACATTCTAAACATTCTATGAAATGGAGAAGCAAAATAGAATGTGAACTGATGTTCACATGTTCTATTTTCCAGATTTCATTTTAACGGAAAACAAGGATGTCTGCAGAAACTCACTAAACTCCCAATCAAAGAAAGCTATGGAGAATTCAACCATGGTGACATTTTAGAGCTGCCCCGTAGGATTTACTTACCGGATCGCCTGTCCCAGACACACACCAAGGCATCACTGAGCCCAAGAGCGATGTAACGGTTGCATTTACTAACAGCTGAGCAGAGGATTTCCATTGCATTTGGCCACAATACATCTGGCATCGGGTCCACATCTGCATCAAACAGAAGGCCATTCCAAAACGTTAAAATAATCTCACTGGTGTAAAGAAAAGTATGCTGTAATATCAGCACTTTTTAAAGCTTTTGTTCTTAGTATCTAGACTTATCTCTTAATTAATAAAATATCATACTTGGGCTGCTCTTTGGTGGTTTTTTTAGGAAATACTGAAGAAGATTACAGCTGCCACTCCACCACACAGCAACAGCGACAAGTAATCCTAAGAAAAGGTCAGACAGTGAAAATGACATTAACAGGAGCATGGTCTGCATACAGACTTGAATATGTCTTTAATGGGTCTGACTGTTGAATGCATAACGAATACAATCCAAAGCAGGAGGATACCCTTGTGACTTTCAATCAGTTCATCAATCATACATATAAGGTCAGAAAGACAGAAGGATCATTATTGTGGAAACTTCCAAATGGGTTTGACATATTTAAATTACTGTTAAGCAATTAAGCAATAACACTTAATGCTACAAACCTGGCTGAAACTCTGCTTTGCTGTCACCAGGACCACAGGGCAGAAGAAAGTGCCACGTGCAATGTCTGGAAAAGATTCAGTAACTAATATGTAACAAAAGAGAGATAATTGTTTGCAGACAGACAGATTACAAATGCTGGAGTACCCAAAGGTGAGTTTTATTTACTCGTTATATTAAGATGTAGAACTAACTCATCTTATGTCTTTAATACTGGATTTGCTGATAATGTAGTGACTGGTTTGATTAGTGATTCTTTGCATTTCTGAATGAGTCTGTTAGTGTCATTCTAGTTTTCTTTAGTTAACCACATGAGGTCTTAGAGGGCAACCACACAGGAAGTGAGGAGCACCAATGTGGCAACTACACACCACTAAAAGTCAACAACATTCGACGACTTCAAACGACTACGAGCAAAATATCTGCTGGCGATGCAAAGTGGGCAGATTTTTTAATTTTGAGGTGAGCGAGCAGGATGACATTTACAAATATAAACAAAATGAGCCTATAATTATTATCTAATACAGACAGACAATCTGCAGAATATCTGTGAACTCCCAATCAAGAAAAGCTTTGGAGAATTCAGCCATGGTGATATTTTAGAGATGCCCCGTAGGATTTATTTTAGACAGACAGACTGACCAAAACAAAACAGAGCAACCAATGAAAGCAGCTTAGCTTTGGAATGCTGATTGTATTGGCATGAACTTTATCACACCTTGGGCTTTCATTCATTTCCTTTCTTTTTCCTTCATCTGTACTGAAGGGCGGCTTCTCCAAACGATGGCTGCTGCTCCTGATTATGTCCAGAGCCAAACAGTGCATCAGAAAGTCTGTTGGCTGCGACGTCTCAGGTGGACTACTGAGTGCCTTCTCTGCCAAAAAGCAGAAACATGAAGGTCAGTTGCTTGGCTGCATTTTTATTTCAATCATAAAAACAAGAGATACAATACATAAAAATTGATAGACCCACATACATCTCTGCATGTTTGGTTAAATTGTAGCACAGTGTAAATGTAATGCTTCTGCTCTAACAGAAAAGTTATACCTGTTGGGATTTTTGGTGGCCTGATTTGAATCATTACAGTAACTGGTGACCATTCAGATGAGTTTGGGTTCTGAGGATTAAAAAAAACAAAAAAACTGTTTATTTAATGTGTGATTCAGTCACATGCAATATATAGTCTCGATCAAAAGACTACTTGCAAAATGGCAAAAAATCATATTCTGCATGGTTGGATCTTAACAAGGTTCCAAATAGAGCTTCAACATGCAACAAGAAGAAATGAGAGTGAGACAAAACATCTTTTTTGAGCATGCAATTTATTGAAAACAATACTTAAACTGAAACAGGCTGTTTTACAACTGATCAAAAGTTTAGGACCACATGCCTTTAAAAGGCCAAATCTGTTAAAAAAAAAAAGTGGATTCATTGTCATCCATTGCATACATTTGAAAATCCTAGGTAACTTCCTTATTGCAACCTTCTGCATTCAGAAGGTTTTCAGAAAACCTGACCTCTGACCCTCACATTGAGGTCGAGGTGACTGAGATTCAAACTGAGATTTTTAATACATACACTTATCATATTAATTTGACAGTCCTTGTATCATCTTTCTTGAATTGTCATGTTCACAAAATTTTCAGAAAATTTGACTTCTGACCTTGGCCTTGAGGTCAACGTCATGGATATTTGAACTTGTCTAAGATTTTTAGTAGATATGTCTAAGGTATTAAATATGAAAATCCTAGCTGGGTGTTAATGCTACTTGCCCAGCTGGATGATGACAATACCCCAAGCATTTCAGGTTTAGAGGTAAAATCTAGAAAAACAACCAAAAGGATGGGAAAACCTGAAAAAAATGATGGTAACATAAGTCTAATATGAAAACAAATGGCATAAAGTACAAAGAGAGACCGGGATGTAACCAGGACTTCAAAATCTTTGGTCTTAGCACTCCTTCCCAGAGTTCGGTACCCAAAACACATTCTTATTTCAGTTTAAACTGTGACTCATTACCTGTGCATTCTCCAACTCTTTCAGCCATGCTGCTGAAGGAAACTGGTAGACCTCAAGCCAAACAGCTCCGCCGCCTGATAGGATACGTAAAATGAATAAAATTTTGCATTTGATTGCAAACTCTGTAACTAAATCCCATCATAAAAACTAAAATAGAAGTTCATACTTACAACTGAGTGATGCAGCTCCATAATTTCCCCCTTCAAACAGTTCAAATGACAAACAAATGCTCCTTTTGTTGATATCTTCCTGTTATTCAAATAATTGATTTGTTTCTTTTTTTTTTTAATAATTAAAAACAGAAAAATTCTAAGTGAAAACCACACCCTGTCCCAGTTATATAAGTCATTTAGTAAAATGTGACAATACACACCATAATGTTAGTAACGCAGAGGAGGTGTATCGAGTCTGAATGATGACCAAAGACTCTCGCAACACCTGTAGATGATAGCAATGATGTCAGTATGATGAATAACATTTAATATAGAACCTGTTTACACACTTCAAAAAGCATTACTGTCTAAGGCAGTGGTTCACAAAATGTACAATTAAAATGGAGCATTAAATGCACAAAAAGGCATGAATTAAATAACATTTACTACATTAATTACATCAGATGCCCTGATTAACCTAACAGTGGCTCAGACTGACTGCAAGAATAATATTTTTTATGACTTAAAAATGAACAGTTTTTTGGGTGGAGTTAAGTTATGCTAAGATTGTGCCAAGTAACCCAACAAGGCTCTTGGAAACCAAACATCCCTTCTTAGAGAAAATGTGCCTACTGCACAGATTCCTAACCAGAGGCAGCAGCAAAGTCTGATTGTGTGTAAAAGCGGCCAATAAAAAGAATAGTGACAGGAGCTTGTCCTATCTGTCATAGGGTGAGAGGGCGGGGTGCATCTTGGACAGCTTGCCAGGGCATTGCACGGCCAAATGTCAGTGTGCGTTTGCTAATCTATAAACTTCCAGCTGTCTGATATATTTTTATGGCAAATAATTGTTTTAAACAGCAGAAGCAACCCAAGGAAAGCCTGGTGGACCATAACTCACCCATATCATCAACAGTGCCAAGCAGATACATGGTCTTAGACATACTGGTCATCTGGATAGATGTCATTTCCAGCCTGTCCTGCAGCCACCCTGCAACACGATTCAGAGATGACGCACACCACACAGACAAGCCCCCGGAGTGGCCCAGACAGAGATACCTGCCGTCGTCTGAGCAAGTCAAGCAGTTGGTGTTTCCTGGGAGCTGACAAATGAGGGAAATAAGTATTTATAGAAGCAAGTCTCACCACTAAACACCTTATATCGGCCGCTATTTTGAAACAATAACTTCATGAATTTCATTAATCACAAGTATGTGAAATTGCACGTATAGAATCACCAGTGAAATGAAATCTCATAACAAATGCTCAAAAATACTTACTCACACCTGTAAGTTGTATTTCTACAATCTTCCCACAGGTTTCAATTAGGGGTGCAACGATACTCGTATCGATATTGAACCGTTCGATACAGTGCTTTCGGTTCGGTACGCATATGTATCGAACAATACAAAATTTGTAATTTATTTTATCAACTTTCCTTCTGATGATGCTGTCTGTGTTGAGCGCTCAGTGAATCTGCGTTCGACTACTCCGCCTAGGCTGCACTGTCGAGCGCAGATCCACTGAGCGCTCAACACAGACAGCATCGTCAGAAGAGCACAGGGCAAGCTAGCAAGACAGAAGTTAAGCTCTCCTTGCAACATGGAAAATTGAACCTCCCCCACCCTCATTCAGATCTGGCGTTTGGAAGTATTTTGGTTTTTTTGTGACGTATGACCCTGAAGGTAAGCGCGTCATGGACTAAAGTAAAACAGTATGTTGGATGTGCCACGCACTAGTGTGTTAGCACAGTTAGCTCGTTAACGTGTTGGCCGTCTAGCCCCACGCACAGAGATTTGCCGTGTTGTGGCGTTAACGTCATTTCAACGAGATTAACGCTGACAGCACTAGTGGGAACACAACGAATATGACTGCACATTTACACCGACATCATCCTAGTGCAAAGACAAGTGGAAGCAGACAAAAACAACAAGCATGCATGCTACAAACTTTACCCGAGTCATTTAGACAGCCGTTAGCACATGATTCTCCTTATGCGGACCTGATATGTTTAATATTGTGGCGAGCTCAGACAAGGTGGAGACGGAGGTGTCGTTTGGTCTTGCTTCCCGTGAGCTAGCCAGGTAGCACAGCAGTTTATTGACATCTGCAGAAGAACACTGCCGCTAGCTAACTGCTCAGCGCGGCAACAGCACAGCAGCAACAACAACAACAACAACACACCGTCGCAGCGAGAGGGCGTCACCCGTCACTATGGCAACATAAACAAAACATAACTGTACAAACAGAACCGCGAACAGCCCTGACCCGCTACATTGCCCCCAACTAAGGGGTCAGTCGTCCCCGACGACCCCATTACCCCACACAAAGTCCTGCAAATGTCCAGGTGCCTTCTTTTGGCGCACCGGCCGGTCACGACCGGCGGGGGAAAAGTCACTCGGGTCAGAACATGGAGTGCCACCATCATCCCACTTCTGACACCAATGTGGCGAGCTCAGACAAGGAGGAGACAGAGGTGTTGTTTGGTCTTGCTTCCCGTGAGCTAGCCAGGGAGCACAGCCGTTTATTGACATCTGCAGAAGAACACTGCCGCTAGCTAACTGCTCAGCGCGGCAACAGCACAGCAACAACAACAACACATAGGGCGCCCTCTGACCCCGGAAGGACACACCGTCGCAGCGAGAGTGCATCACCCGTCACTATGGCAACATAAACAAAACATAACTGTACAAACAGAACCGCGAACTGCCCTGACCCGCTACATTGCCCCCAACTAAGGGGTCAGTCGTCCCCGACGACCCCATTACCCCACACAAAGTCCTGCAAATGTCCAGGTGCCTTCTTTTGGCGCACCGGCCGGTCACGACCGGCGGGGGAAAAGTCACTCGGGTCAGAACATGGAGTGCCACCATCATCCCACTTCTGACACCAATGTGGCGAGCTCAGACAAGGAGGAGACGGAGGTGTCGTTTGGTCTTGCTTCCCGTGAGCTAGCCAGGGAGCACAGCCGTTTATTGACATCTGCAGAAGAACGCTGCCGCTAGCTAACTGCTCAGCGCGGCAACCGCACAGCAACAACACACAGGGCGCCCTCTGACCCCGGAAGGACACACCGTCGCAGCGAGAGGGCGTCACCCGTCACTATGGCAACATAAACAAAACATAACTGTACAAACAGAACCCCAAACAGCCCTGACCCGCTACAATATGCTGCTGAGAATATAGCCCAGAAGAAGCGTATAGTATAGCTTTTATTTTGGAAAGAGCCATTTCTCTGTAATAAACTCTCTTTTCCAAAGATGAGTGATTCCTCAATCAGATTTATTTTTTAAATTACTTTTGTTTCAGCAACATTAAATTTAAAAACTGTACTTTTGAGTTAAAATATATATTTATAATTTTAATAAATGACAAATTAAAAAGGCATGAACATTTTTTTTGTATCGAAAAAATATCGAACCGTGACACCAAAGTATCGAACTGAACCGAACCGTGAATTTTGTGTATTGTTGCACCCCTAGTTTCAATTCATAATTCTTCAAATAACACATTTCTAAATTAGAATGAGTATGAAAACATCTACATTTTGTTTAACGAAACTGTTATTTTTATTTGACAACCTTTGTTTTCTTCATTGTAAAAAAATGGAATAGCTCTGTTTGCTGGTTCAGAGTTGACTGGATATATTTCATACTGGTCTACACAAAAATCAAGTTCTCACTTTGGCCAAGTGCCAACAGATGCCACGTTGCTACATGGATATAAAAATGTGAGAAAACATCAGATTATGAGCTTTCAAAATGTCTTATTGACAGTTTTCACAAAGTAAATCATGTTCTATTATTGGTTTGTTAAATACATATTTCTTTGGTTTAGGAATCAAATGCATGGTGTCCAAATGAGTGGACATGTTTGTAACTCCCTGAAAAATGAGTTCATGAACAAAATTTCAATTGCATTTTTGGGTTGTTTTTCTTTTTGTGCTTAAAGAGGAATAAAAATCTAAGGAAAAAATCGTGACTGAGGCCCTCATAATTAATGCATGAGATAGTTAAACTTAAAACTTTACATGTCAAGATCTTTGTACCTGCATCATACCAGTAAGTTCCAAAGTAGGTGTCTCATCCCTGGATGTCTTTGCGTTATGGGCTGATTCCATTTCTTTTCTTGTGATGAAGAATAAACCTGGAGAGAGAATCGAGAGCTCTCATGTCGTCTTTGTTTACCTCCACAACAGAAATTTTTTTTTTTTTTAGAAAGAAATAGATGTCTGTGAAATAAGACAACACAGACTCACTGCTTTAACTATATATAGATTTTACTCATCTGCCCCTTTATTAGCTAGAAAAAGCCCTGAAGTTAATTCAGTATAAAGTATTCCAAAAACATGTAGAATATGGTCGTTACTATGCAGGAACTGAAATAGCCTTAAATGTCACAGTGGAAAAAGCTGATACTATTTATATGCCGCTGAAAGTATTTATTGGAAATAAATAAAATAACAAAATGAATCAGATTAGCCCTTTTCGTAACACTTGATGTCGTTCACTAAATACTTTAGAGCATAGAGTTTACAACTTTACACACAGACTGATTCATACGGCCTAGATGTGGCTGAAAAAGAGTTCAGTGAGGTCACTGGTTAGCAGTGTTGGGCAAGTTACTTTGAAAAGTAATTAATTATAGTTACTAGTTACTTCTTCAAAAAAGTAACTGAGTTAGTAACTGAGTTACAATTTTCTAAAAGTAATTAATTACTTGAAAAGTAACTATTGCGTTACTTTAAAAAACAAAAACAAAAAAACGTTTAACCCTGTGGGGTCCAGGTTGTAACTGCAGCCATTTTTAACTACTTTTGATGTTTTCTCTAAATTTTACCTTTAAAAACTATTTACCTTTCCTTGTTTGGTATCTTCCTTTTCAGCACAACCTCACGTGTCTGAATTTACAGTTATGTTTTCATTTTGACATACTGTATTAACACAATGATCTAAAATCACACAAAAAACATCAAATCAGAGTAGAAAAAGTTATATTTTTTACTGTAACAACCACAAACATGTATAATGAATCATATTTCATAACTTTAAATGCAAATATAAATGGTCAATTTTAAAATCCTATGCACAAGTTTTGCAAACAATAAAGTTATTTGCATCTATTTACCTTTTACCTTGATTTTCTAAATAACCATTTCAAACTATTTACAGAACAATCAGCTGTTCATTTTTCAATAAGATGCCACACAAAAATAATTTCTGTCCACTATAAAGGAGAACATCACAGCCTAAATCCTGTAGGTCTGACAGCAGCAGGTGTATCACTCCTTTTTCTATCTGGAGACAGCAGTCACCTCATTGTTCTGACACACAACACAAAACTATCCACAACACTACACTCCCATCACTGCTGGTTAGCCTGGAGGCTAACAATGAGCTGACACCACAGATAAAAAATCGTCATATAAAGCTGTTTAACTCAGGACAAAAAAGGGGCAGCTTGTAAAACAACTATTAGATCACAAACAAAAGTATTTTAGTGTAAGTGTAATTTTAGACCAGAGTGGAAAAGCACTGAAAATGGATATGTTGGTCTTACCTCAGCTTTGTGAACTCTGAACGGGCTTGATGTTTCACGGTCGCTATGACAACCGACTGGCTCCACCCCGACCGCGGTTTAAAGCTGCTTTGTGTCAGGAGGAGCTACACACCGGCGTGGATGCTACAGAAGAACGGTCACAGTGAGATCTGCAGCCCTGCGATCTAATCTATGTCTGAAGAAAGTGCATGTTCTACTCTTGTGATAAATGACTGATAAAATATTATTCTTATGTGCACTTTCTGTAAAGCAGAAGGTATATTTTTTTTATATTTGGTAGCACTTTTTAATAATTTCACACTATTAAGCATTATTAAAGTATTGGTAAGGTATTATAGAGTACTTAATTTAGCATTTATAGACATTGCCCTGCTTTAGTATGCCATTTATAAATATAGATATTTTATTATGACTATGATTACGATTGTTACTGTGATAGCTCTACATGATGTAACAGTAACAGATGGAGAGACATACCTGTATTTATAAATGACATACTGAGGAGGACTCTCTCTTTCTCATTTATCTTTGAATGTTATTCCATGTGGTTTAAGGGTTTCTGTTTCTCAAAATCATACTTTACTTATAGCATATGCATATTTATCTGTTCCCACTCTCCTGTTAGACGAGTGGACCAATCTTTGCCTACTGCAAGTGCCAACATCTGTATGATGTATAGAAAAATTTTACACACATTAAAGACACTTTTTTGCACTAAGCAGCAACCTCTGCAGCTAAAAATTCAAACCAATTATAATACCAACGAGTGCAGTTTCTCTGGTGGTCGCTCCCAATTTTATTTATATAACACAAAATCACAGCAGCAGTCATAAACAGTATTTCTTTTGTGCTATCATTTTAATAGAACTCTTCAAGCATGTCAGCCTTGCAACTACTCAACCCGCTGAACCCAGCACACATGAATAAGCAGCCAAAACTTAACTGAACTGGTCTGTGTTTTTCATTGCAAGTTGGAGAATGATACTGGGATGAGGTCAACATAGGGACAAGCTGATGGTCTTCTGTTGTTCTCCTTTTATAACATGGTAGTTAACAGTATATAAAATAGTGTTTTGTGCCTCAAGTGCCGCCTTGCAACTCTGTGAATGTTTTCAGATCTCATCCATCTGGATACCAGAGTTAGTCTGTATCTTTGCAGTAAGTAGCAGATGTGTGTATTCAGGCACTGCATCTGTACAGTTTATCAATGCAGCTTGCTAACCACAGTTACTAGTGTTAGCTGATGACTTAACCTACATTCTCAAATATGGTAACTTCCAGCTAAACAGGCAAAAATGAAGCAATTATAATAAAATGAATGTGGCTTTCAAAACGCATGCTATGACCATCTTTATTATACAGTTTACAGTTACCCTCCAAGTATACCAAAATGCAAAATTAATAGGACTGTTTCATGCATGTGAAGCATTATAATGATATGGTATTGCACTGTGTTAACTGACAGGATTTTATAGCCAGCTGGCCTTCGCTTTAACAATTAAGGAAACAAAACATATTATTATTCAGGATCTAAAAGCTTGAATTTTAAAGATCTTGATTTAGCCCATCCTTTACATTTGACACTTTAAGTTTTAAAGTTTGCAGTTCTTACACTTTTGACAAAGGAAAACTCTCTTGCTGCAGGATAATCATCTGCAAATGGATTTTTATCACAAACTGACAACATTGTTGTTAGCCCTTTATAAAACAGAAAAATATAAAATGTCTTATACAATAATTTCTTGGCTTCTACTTATACCTGTGTATGAGGGTGCCTGCGTGCATAAAGAAAACATGATTGCTGTGTGCACAAAAAAATAAGAGCGATCTACAAAGAAAAATGTCTGTAGTTATAGATCTCTTTGATGGTTTTATTTGTTTGAAATTTGCACAATAGAAGAAGAGAAAGTACACAACTGTAAAATGCAGTTCATAATGCATACGCTCCTCTCCGGGTCTTCATTGTTGGTGATACTTTTATCCTGCTCAATCGCCCAAATATAATCATACCCTCTTAATCACAACAATCCAAAAATAATTATGGTTTTCCATCAATAATCTGACACATCTATTCCTTTCTTTCTATAAATCTTTTCATAATTACCACTTGTTCGTCAATTGTTAATTTTAAGATTGGGCTTTTTGTGCTTGAAATATGGCCGAAATCACTAAAAGGCAAATTTTCAAATCAAACTACTCTGTGTGCTCAGAAAGTAAAACAGGGTGTCAACAGGAATATCGGCAGCATTAGAAATATATAAGTGTTATTCTTAATGGCGAATGCCTGCACATTTACCTCAGTGATGAATAAAGCAAAAATGTACCAGAATGATTACAAATGCAACAAATGAGTAAGCAATGTCATCACAGGAAACAGAGAACGTTAAATTACATTAAGAATACAGAAAGCCACTGTTGGCAATCATTTAAACAGTTTTAAACAGCAAACAGTAGTAATAAGGCAGATAACAGATGAGTGTGTGTATGGATAATGAGCATCTTGATATTGGCAGTTTGAAGACTATATAAGTATCCTTAAGGCTTCTATGTCAATGACTGTGTAATGACATTCAATACAAAAGCTGCAGCCACAATGGACAAATACACTCTGAATAGGCACTGATTAAAAGTTGAGACTCAGCTCTCCAAGCTTAAAATACCTAAATACTACAACATATAGTAAGTTAGCAAATGCACACATTTTACCAATATAGTGGCAGCTTCTTGAAACCCGTCACTGTACACTATAAAACATCCTCAGATAACTACTTTTATTTTCTAATAAGCCAAAAAAAGCAACACAATATGAACATCAACCCTCATAAAGGTGAACTTTTCTCATAAGTAAAATGACTGTGGGGTTAATTATCCAATTTACACGGGAATACTTCTTTAATGACGGCATTTATGTTCATTGTACCTACGCGGACACTTCATTAGGTATATCTGGCTAGCATGGGCTGGACCCCCGTTTGCCTTCGGAACAGCACATATTCAACAAGGTGCTGAAAACATTCCTCAGCTTGTTGCACAAGCTGTTGCTGTGTGCAACAGCTTCACACAGCTGTTGCAGATTCGTCACCTGCACATCCACGATGTGGAGTTCTTAATCCACTGTATCTCAAAGGTGCTCTATTCAATTGTAATGTAGTGGCTGTGGAGCTCATTTGAGTATAGTGAACTCATTGTCGTGTTGAAAAACCAGTTTGAGATGATTTGAACGTCGTGACAGGTCACCTTATCCTAATGGTCGTTTATCATTATTTAAATGATGCTCGTGTGGTAAGGGGCCAAAGTGTGCCGAGAAAATGCCAAATTCTGTCCCCAGTGTAACAGCTGAAATGAACACTCCTCAGACTGAGTAACATTTCTTCAGTCTTTTTTCCCCAATTTTGGTGAGTGTGCCGAAACTGTAGCCTGTTCTTAGTTGACAGGAGTTCCAACCAGTGTGGCATTCTGCTGCAATGTTCAAACTGCATACCTCAGTTTTAAGAAGTGGTTACTGTTGCCTTCCTGTCAGCCTGAATCAGTCTGGTTATTCTCCTGTGACATCAACAAAGCATTTTCGCCCAGAGAACAGCAGCTCACTGGATATTGTCTCTTTTTTTGGACCATTGTCTGTAAACCATGGAGTTGGTGGTGTGGGAAAAATCCCAGCAGGTCAGCAGTTTCTGAAATGCACAGACCAGCTGGGATTCTAGCACAAACAACCGCGCCAACTTCAAAGGCACTTAATCACCTTTCTTCCCCATTCTGATGCTTGGTTTGAACTTCAGCAGGTCTTGTCTACATGCCTAAATGCATTGAGTTGCTGCCATGTGATTGGCTGATTTGGTCTTTAAAAATGAGTTGAACAAGTGTGCCTACTAAAATGAATGCAAACTGTTCTGTTCATTTAACTGTTTTCATCTAACTGAGCTGCTTTTAATTGCATCAAGGCTTCTGCTGCAGTAAACCTTGTTGCTTTGTCTCTATGAGCCATGGCTCACTACGAAACACAACGATGTAGTACTTAGAAGTGGAAAATTACAATAAATCAAACCCCATGATGTTGGAAACCTTGCACAGATTTCCAGGATCATAACTGACCCCACAACTTTCCAATATCCTTGCCACATCAATGTGCCAATTCATGAAAAAAATAAAGTAGTTTTTGCCATTGTGATCTAAAAAATGTTCACAGCAGCACTGAATTTTAAAGTAACAGGTTTGCTATGTGCCTCATTCTTTTAATCTATTTTTATAGTGTACAAGTGAATGGTTTCAAACATAGCTGGAGAGTTAGGTGACGTGTCTATTCACTGCTACCGAGGCCTTCTGTAGCTATATTAATCTTTTAATATTTAGAGTCCTTTGGGGCTGCAGAGACAAAACACACAGTAAGTTATGATACTTTCATCTACAACCTCTCCCCCTCTTGATGGATACAAACACTTAGATCTACCAAGACCGGCTACCACGATCTGTGGAGACCAGCGACACAGGAATGAGGAAAATCATTTCAAAATAAATACATCAGTAGTTCTATGTAAAAAGAGACAAAGACACTTCTTTCCAGTAGGTTTAAATACTTTAAACTAGACTTGCTGCTTGCTTATTAATGACGTCTGAGCATTTTGGTCAGTTTAGCAAAAGAAAGGGAGTGTACTTAATAAATACTTAATAAATACGGCACATATCGACTTATTGCAGTAAGTTTCATGTGAACCTGAAGCTCTTAACATGTTTAACCAGGTAATTGAGAACAAATTTTTGCTAATTGGATTCAGCAGCTTTCAAAATGAGCCCGAATCAATTTAGTGTGTGAGATGTGAAGATCGCATACTTCATAAAAAGTAAGAAACCAGCTGACTCCAGCTAAACAGCAGGAACCTCTTACAGGCTGCATCGCAAAATGTCATTATCTTACATGACTTTTTGTTTTGCCACAGGGTGACAATTATTCCACTTATTTCCAGTACAGAACAAACATAATGCAGAACTCTAAAACATCCCTTCCTCCAAGATAAATGCCTGAAGCACTGCAGGTGGAAAAAGA